GGTCGGTAGCCTTCAATAACAACCATCAATCAGACGAAGGAAGACCTTCCAGGCTCAGCAATATATTTCCAAACGAGTTCAAACTGGATTGTGGTTTACTGTATCAACATCATCACCATTCCTGTGGATCCCTACAGCAGCTTAGGGAAGCAACCACACCTCTCCACTATACTCGGTTCTGGACGATTCCTCCAAGTTGGGCCCACGACATTCCGGCTGCTTCTGCTTCTCCTATAGCTGACCTTTTCCGAGTTCGTTTTGGCCTGCCTACTTTCCTCTTTCTTTAGAAAATCTAATCTAGTGCTTGTCTGGTGATGTTGCTATTTTGCCAATGATGTCTTGCCCAGTTTTTCGCGTTTTTCAGTTCGGGCTATTAAAATCATAATGTATTTTTGCCAGCAAATGTACCTTCTATATCAGACGCCGTTTGTCTTCCTTTTATTTCCCGTTGGAAAAATAAAAGTCAAATCTGTAATACAAAAAACTCAAACACAAGCTAAAGTTAAGAATGGCAGCGGTAAATGTTTGGCGAATTTGAAGCACGTCGTTTTGAAGCGGTATAAAAGTTGTGATTACAGCATCTTGTCTTCTTCTTCGTTCTTAAATTTTAAAGAATCTTGTAAATGACCTATATTAATTGGTATTTCTTATTTTCTACTGATTTCAATCAATCTTGTTTCGTTTTGTTTTCGTTGTGTGTGTCGCTAATAAATATATTAAAATTAAATGTATTGCGTAATCTTTTGCGTACGATTCGAATGTTCTGTACTATAGAAAAGATCAAAATGAGGTCATGCCGAAGGAAACATAATAGACAAAAATTAAGTCCAATTTAATCTTCATTGATTTCTTTTAATTACAAAAATTAATTTTCATCACCAAAATGATTAAATTGTGGATAACTTTAAATAATTCTATCTATTAATAAAATCTTAGTTGAAAACAAGCAGGTAGATGAAAAAACGATTAAAAATGGTGTAGTATATTATATATCGGAAAATCCCGAACTGTTGTTTACATTTTACTTTGATCTTTATTTAATCTGCCACTTCAACCAAGCTGGACAAATTAGCCTAAAATTTAGAGAAGACTTGTGGTCAGTGACCTAATTTTATTTTAAAAGATTTAGTACACATTGTAAACTCACGTGACCTCCCGGCTTGCGTTTTGTACCACCACCATCAAATACATACGTTTTGTACCACCACCATCAAATACATACGTTTTGTACCACCACCATCAAATACATACGTTTTGTACCACCACCACCAAATACATACGTTTTGTACCACCACCATCAAATACATACGTTTTGTACCACCACCATCAAATACATACGTTTTGTACTACCACCATCAAATACATACGTTTTGTACCACCACCATCAAATACATACGTTTTGTACCACCACCATCAAATACATACGTTTTGTACCACCACCATCAAATACATAGGTTTTGTACCACCACCATCAAATACATACGTTTTGTACCACCACCATCAAATACATGCGTTTTGTACCACCACCATCATATACATACAATTATCTCGTGTGTGTGTTTAAAAATATTAACATTTTATCTTATTTCATTTTCCATCGAAATAATTTGTGTCCTCATCCGACATAAACTTTTATTCCGTATTTTTAATGGCTTAGAGTAAGGGTGTTTTGTTTCTTTGAATATGACGGGTTTACAAATAGGTGGGGATTCTCAGAGGGTCATAACCTCCCCCCCCCCTCCCTCAATTTTCATTACCGGAATACGCCCTCACTAATTCATATATGAGAGCAAAACAGCTTATCTTATGACGTCTGTAGTATAAGATAGGGAATTCCCAAAGTGATCTATTTTCTCGGAAAATAAGTATAATTTCGCAACCTCAACCCTATATAAACGGTCCAGAGCCCAACTTTCAAAACTAAGAACAAATTTCTGTCAGTAGTCAGCTTGAAAACATTTGCCAGACAATTTTTTAAAACTTTACCGAAAGAGCTCAAACTACCGAAAGTACCGATATATTTCCAAAATGGTGTCAACTACCGATAGTTAATTCGATATGTTTTTTTAAGCTGTTAAAACTTAACACAAACTCCTCTTAAAAGTGAAAGTAAATTTCCCTTTTGAACCTGACGGTCCATGGGGCTAGTGAAGTAGAGCTCACCTGTTTCTGTGACCTCGGTATATGAAGGGATAGTGTGGTCAGTACTATACCAAACTGCCTGTACTTTCCCTAATGTGAGGAAGGTACTCATTTGAGCTGGATGAACTCAGGGATTTTATGTGGACTTGGACCATGATTCTAATTCAAGGCATTCAGGTCAGCAGGCATATAAAAACCCCTCTTAAATGTAACTAAATCTCTGTTTTGAAAAATAAGAAATTTACCGTCAAATTTTTTTTTTTGTTAATCGCTACAAGTGATAAAAATAGTTTAAAGTTGGCCTACTGGACTTTAGTACGTGTTTGCGTGGCCACACTTGGTATTGATGCGATTACCAAGAGAGATATCACCATATAGGCCGACTAAGCCATAGTTAAGTTATCGTTTGATGTTATACGTTATTCCAACCATACTCAATATACAACCCCCACGGTGTCACATCGCGTTTGTAGCCTGCAATAATTTAACACGCTTTTGTTGACAAAGCTATTTTTAACTTTGCAGATGGCAGGGCTATTTAGTGGCAGTCACATTTATGTGGAAGATGTGCCAAGAAGACAGAAGAGGAAGCGTAGACGGGTGGTAACCAAAGGACATGAACACCCTCCATGTGGACAGTTTTCACAGCAGACGACTATCAAGACAAGCCTGGATGAATCAGGTCATTTGCCGAGTTTGTGTGGAGTCGATGACCTTGTTAAAATAGCTTTATGGCCTATGTCTTGCAAAAACGAAATAACGTCATCGTGTTATCAAACAGAAATGACATCACACTGCGGTGACGTCACAAAATGTGACACACAACACGTCACCAGCGTGTCAGTAAACACCCAGGTCACCCCTGACCTGAAAAGTTTACCAACTATTGATCTTATGTCATGGAAATCAATCGATAACTGCACTTATCTCCAAAGCCTTGGGAGCCTCGATATCTCCCTCAACACAGAGGAGGGGCTTTACATCAACACTACACACACCTCTCCCGCCCACCTCACTACTCCAACCAGCTCAGCCAACCATCTCCAAGATGATCCAATCCCCGCATTGCCCAGTGAAGCCATTTCCTTTCAATCAAGCGGCAACAAAATGGATATTTTTCATCAAACATTACAACACGAATCTCCTGAGAATAAATTTTGTATCTCAGGGAAATCATTCGCTCCGACTTTTCACCAAGAGGTCCAGTTACCTGTAGCAGATATTTCTCAGGTCTCTGGCAGGTATTCTCCAGCTGGGGTCATGCCAGACACCCAGCAGGTTCAAGACGTGATAGACGTTCATATGATGTACGGTCAGTGTGGACCCCCGACTGTAGGATGTGACACTGAGGCCATATTATACGGGCAAGGGGCCACACTACACGGCCAAAGGGTCAACGTACATGAATCTAGGGCCACCCTATACGGGCCAGGGGCCACACTACACGAACCTAGGGCCACACACAGCTATTCTCAAATGGCCCCCCACTGTGGGCCTGACCACCGAGTCAACATCTCGCAGACAATCAGTCCACAAACAGTAGACAGCCAACCACACAACCAACCACACAACCAACCACACAACCAACCACACAACCAACCACACAACCAACCCAACATTTTAAGCCATCAACACGGTACTCAGACCAGCAGCTTTAAGTCTGACTACACACACACTCTACCTCACCACACATCCAACCACACATCCAACCACACATCCAACCACACACCCAACCACACATTCAACATTACCCTCAACCATCCACACAATCAAACATTCAACAGTTTATTTAACCCCACATCCAATCAAACATCCAACAATCAATATAACCACACATCCAATCAAACATTCCACCATTCATTCAACCAAACATCCAACAATCCACTCAACCATACAACAGTCCAAGCATCCAACCATCTCACCAACCCTCAGGTTTCACCCAACCCGTGGCACCCACCTTGTTACATGATACAACCAGTTTATGGTTGGGCACAGGACCAAAATATGGCTACCACGCCAACCCGGCAAGTACAGCAGCCATTTGATTCCTGGCAACAACAACCAAATCAGCCGTTGCCATGGTTACCACAACAGCATATGCAGTTTGTGTACGCACCGAGCTAACACGCCAATGTCTGTGTTTGTAAAGTGTACGGTAAAATCTCTAAGTATACGAACACATAACATTCCGTATGTTGTTTATGTCCTAAAGCCTGCTACTACCTCTGGTATATCAAAACTGGACTACAAAATATGTTGGCGACATATATTTTGAATTATATATTTAATTACTTAATTACTTTAAAAAAAATAATGCACAAACTGATTCAAGCTATATTGATATTAATTATTATGCCTTATAGATAATAGCCCTTTTGCTGTTTATAACATCAAGTATAAAATTCCTATACAACTATTTTAAGCCACGGATTCCCAATTATTTGTCTTATTTCAAACATGTTAAATCGGAAAAATCCAATTTTAATTGTATCTATTTCAAGATTAAAGTATTTTAAAAGTGACAGTTCTTACTTTACCTTATACTTTTAGATATTTTTAAATTTTAAAGTTACCTGTATATTATTAAAAATACTGAAATCTAAGATTAGATTATTTTGATTTTTTGTTCATTTTTTTTATTCGTGATGTCATACAATGCTATACATTTTCAATATAAGAAAAGAGAAATATGTTATCATTTAAGGCCTGAGTAAGCCACATTGTTTAGAAATAGTTATTATACCCACCTACCTACATATAAGCATACTTACATACATTCATGGACATACACATATGCACATACATACATACATACTTTACTGACATATATTATAAATAAGATACAATTAAATAATAAAACAGATTGCTATTTTTAATTACTTTAAAAAATGTAATAAAAGAAACATAAAAAGTAGAATTGAACAAAAACAAATAATAAAGACAGTGAAATGATCAGCTAGAAATTAAAACAGAAATAAATACAGAAAAAAATACAGGTAATCGTATAAATTAATAAATTCTTGGAAGGATTTAAAATAAAGTTTGCTAGTGAGATTACTGGCAGCTTTTTACAGGTGAGCAGTTTCCGGGGATTTGGAAGACTTCCGGTTTGGAGATACCCAAGGTAGGGTTGGGGTAGACGGTGCTTTCGTGTTTACCGGAAGCTGTGGAGAAATGAAACATAAACTTGTTACTTGAAATATTATCAAACAATAATGTGTTAGTTTAAGTGGTATCAAAGACCAATTAATTAGCATATGAAGGGCTCAGTGGAAAAAGTACTTAAGTGTATTTAGAGAGTTTTGAGAAAAATGAGTGCAAAGTTTTTAAATTGTTATTGAAATACCAAAACAGCTGATGCAGAGTATTCAAATTAATCTACTTCGGTACTTTTTCCAAGGCCCAAATTTACAGGGATGGTTAAGGGGAGGTGGTCCTAACTCATTTTTGAAAAAAATGTAACTTAAGTACTTTTTCCACTGAGCCCTTCATATATTAATTAGTTGATCGTCTAACATCATGGCACATATAGATAGATGGCGTTAGTAACATTCACGGGATTAAAAAAAAACTCCCCATGATTAACCTAGGTGCAGTAATCTATGTATATCTATTCCTAACCATAACATGTTGACCAGTATCGTTTGGAAATATCGAAAACTAGACTACGATACCAATACTTGTAGCGTACAATAGAGTAGTCCAACTAAACAGAGTTCATATAGATTAACCGTACCCATACTGTAAATATAGTAGACAGTATTGAGAGATAAATTTTAACTCTAACTTTAAAATTTAGGTTTAGGGTTGAGGTATCGGTTAAAGTATCGCTATCAGCGATACTGCCTACACGATCAAATAGGTCTAGCTAATAGCACATTTTAAACAATACATTAACGATACGAACACATAGGTCTTGCTATTTTGCTCATCAATGAGCTACTGCATCTGTGATGCATTATAGGTATATGTTTGAAGTTTGACTGCTAGCGATTCTAGCTCTGAGCATAGTGTGGCGGGTGGATGAGAACCAAAACACGTGCACTCAGTACTCACTATCTGTGTGGCGGGTGGATGAGAACCAAAACACGTGCACTCAGTACTCACCATCTGTGTGGCGAGTGGATGAGAACCAAAACACGTGCACTCAGTACTCACTATCAGTGTGGCGGGTGGATGAGAGCCAAAACACGTGCACTCAGTACTCACCATCAGTGTGGCGGGTGGATGAGAGCCAAAACACGAGCACTCAGTACTCACCATCAGTGTGGCGAGTGGAAGAGAGCCAAAACACGTGCACTCAGTACTCACTATCAGTGTGGCGGGTGGATGAGAACCAAAACACGTGCACTCAGTACTCACCATCTGTGTACTTGCTGACGAAGACGTACTGTGGCTGGTTGAACTGCTTGCTGTAGATAAGCTGGAGGGTGCCGCCAGCGAAGGGGATCAGCCACGCCTCGTCGTCAAGGTGGTGGGGGCCGAACCCGAAGGATGCCTCACCCAGGAACACGGCGTTGGCTGGGGAAGTAGAGTTGAGCTGTTGTAGGGAGGGTGTGTGGGAGGGTGTGTGGGAGGGTGTGTGGGACAGTAGAGTTGAACTGTTGTAAGGAGGGTGTGTAGGACAGTAGAGTTAAGCTGTTGTATGGAGGTTGTGTGGGAGGGTGAGTAGGACAGTAGAGTTGAGCTGTTGTAAGGAGGGTGTGTAGGACAGTAGAGTTAAGCTGTTGTATGGAGGTTGTGTGGGAGGGTGTGTAGGACAGTAGAGTTGAGCTGTTGTAAGGAGGGTGTGTAGGACAGTAGAGTTAAGCTGTTGTAGGGAGGTTGTGTGGGAGGGTGTGTAGGACAGTAGAGTTGAGCTGTTGTAAGGAGGGTGTGTAGGACAGTAGAGTTAAGCTGTTGTAGGGAGGTTGTGTGGGAGGGTGTGTAGGACAGTAGAGTTGAGCTGTTGTAAGGAGGGTGTGTAGGACAGTAGAGTTAGGCTGTTGAAGGTAGGATGTATGGGACAGTAAAGTTGGGCTGTTGTTGGGAGGGTGTGTGGGACAGTAGAGTTGTTGTAGGGAGGGTGTGTGGGAGGGTGTGTGGGACAGTAGAGTTATGCTGTTGTAGGGAGGGTGTGTGGGAAAGTAGAGTTTTTGTAAGTGGTTGTGTAGAACAGTAAAGTTAGGCTGTTGAAGGTAGGATGCATGGGACAGTAAAGTTGGGATGTTGTTGGGTGGCTGTGTGGGACAGTAGAGCTGTTCTAAAGCTCTTTACTAAATAACGTGGACAGTTCTAATTCTAATTCCAGGTAAGCTTGTATTACCTGGCAGACATTGGGGAAAGACGGCATCAGACGGCAGGTTGATGAACTCACACTTGCCTGTGTTGTAGATGGTGTAGATCTTCAGCTGAAAGGTCACATTCAAACGGGGGTTAAAGGTCACATTCAAACGGGGGTTAAAGGTCACATTCAAACATAGGGTTAAAGGTCACATTCAAACATAGGGTTAAAGGTCACATTCAAAGATAGGGTTAAAGGTCGCATTCAAAGATAGGGTTAAAGGTCGCATTCAAACATAGGGTAAAGAAAAAAAGTTCCAACAAAGGTTTAAGTCACATTCAAAATAAATTTGAGATCAAAGGAAATCTTAAACAAAGCATTACAAACCACGAATCTTTGACTATATGAAATAAAACTATTAAAGCTTGAACTATAACTATGAATACATGGTAATACATTACGAAAACACAATAAAACAATGAATGTATGGCTGTTAACGAAACCATTGTTTGAAGTGAGTGTGACACTTACGTCATCAAAGTCCTCCACCTCGGTCCTGTTGGGGTAGGCGAGGACCATCATGTTTTGGGTGAAGTCGACAGAAATGTGGGCTCCTTCCTGCAACACAACGTGCCAGAGTGACGTCATTTTGTGCAGGTAAGTTTTTTATAATACGATATTTTGAAATACAATATTTCTATAGTGTAGATCAGGGGTCTCCAAACTACGGCCCGCGGGCCGGATGCGGCCCGCGATGTTCTCTCATCCGGCCCGCGGAGATCTTTTTGTGCACGGAAAGAACGTTTGTTGGTGATGGCTGAGGAACTTTGCCCAGAAAAATCAAAGACAAGCCTGGAAGAAACTGGCCCCCGAACTGAAATTTGATAGTTAATGCGGCCCTCGGACTGAAAAGTTTGGAGACCCCTGGTGTAGATGAAGTAGAGTTCATGTGTTTCCCCGATCTCGATATGTTAAGATAATGTGTACCCGAACTATTTTACTTTCGCAGACTCGAGACAGGTACCGATTAGAGCTGAGTGGACTCAGAAAACCCTTTCGACTCAAGTATATGACCCTCATTCGATATTTTCTTCTCAGCAGTTGTTTGCTCTACCAGATAGTGATGCTGTGAGTAGGGTTTTGGGTTTTTATATCGAGTAGGTGTAGCAGAGTTGTTCGAGCGAGCTATAAGCGAACTACAGACAATCTGACGTCACATTATTGAGATAATGCACTGGGCATAACCCGGGCATTATACTGGGCATTTAATTTTAGCTAAACATCATCAGCTGCTGATTATATTCGTATATTATGACTGTTATACGAGTATATTTTGACCACATAAAAAACTAGCTAATATTAATACGCTTTTGTTTTTGCCTGTGCCTAGCAAAAAGAACTAATTATCCAGGCTAAAATAAAACCACCTACACAAAAGATCTACAGTATCTTACTTTGATACAAAAACATAAATCGGAACGAATATAATTACTAAACATTTTTTTTAGGCAGCTTTTGTCTAAACTTGTATTGTTGCCAAATACAAATAAAATATAATTAAACAATTAGAGAAAAAAAGTGTAACGAGCTTAATTATATAATTAAAACAATAATTAAAACTGAAATTTAAAAAAAAGTTGCACTTACTTCAGTGTCCAAATTAAACGAGTCAAATTCCAATTTATCTGGCATGCAGACCTTGGTAGGGTCCGATGCAGACATGACCAGGGGAAGTAACACTGCGAGTAGAATTGCGTACATCTTGGTGTTGTGGTTCTTGGATTGACGAAAGCCACCCAGCTCGCCGTATTTATAGCCCGCGGGCTGAGGTGTGACGGTTCGTACTTTGGTCACATGACCTAAAAAAAGCCACCAGTACTGCCATTCTAGTTCCAAAGTTTTGTTTAGATAAAAAAAGAAAAACTTTGGTCAACTGACAGTTGCTTTGTTGACATTAGAATTAGAGTAGTGAAAATAAAAGTCAAGTGCATTGTTTACACCTAGTCAGGGGCGGAACTACTATATTGCTAGCCCCCGCAATGCGAGGGGCGGGGGGGGGGGGGGGGGGGGGAGCAGGCCGTTTAGGGAGCCCCCAATCTGACCAAAAACTAATTAATATTTTTTGCTGTACCTTAATAGACAAGTTGTTTTGTGAAAAAGAACATCAGATCTACTACTCCTAGTACTTAAAAAAACCTATCATTTGATAAAAAAAAACAGATTACCTCTTTGAGGTAAGGGTGGGGGGATAGTTGTTCGTATATTTTCCATTTATATATGCAGGCCTTTATGAGTATATATATATATATATATATATATATATATATATATATATATATATATATATATATATATATATATATATATATATATATATATATATATACATATATATATATATATATATATATATATATATATATACGTGTGTGTGTGTGTGTGTGTGTGTGTGTGTGTGTGTGTGTGTGTTTGTGTGCGTGTGTACATCAGATTTTTTAAAAATGCTTACAACAAGGCTTCAAACTCTAGTTTTATTTACAATTTCTATATAAACATTTTTTGAGAAAATAAAAAGTGGAATTGTGTTGTAATAATTATGAGAGATATTGCCGTTATTTTTTTTCTTGTGATATCTTGGTCGAAAAAAAACAACGAAAAATGGAGTTAGTCTGATTCTGACGAAAACCTCAGGCCGTATATTTTTTATTTTATAACCTGAAAAGGATTCCGTCTAATCGAGAGGTCGCCTCCCCGATACCCCATCTCCTGTAAAATAATAAAGCTGGGATTTACGAATAGAAAGTTTCGAATTATTTGTTACATATTATTTATGAATAAGGCTCACTATTCTAGGGGGCCGTGGGCTGCGGCCTACCCGCTCCGCACCGGGTACGGCCCTGCCGACCACATTCCTTTGTCGACTTTCCTGCACGGTTTCTGGCAACAGGAAACACGCCTCGATCAGAACTAGGTCACTTGGCGCCCCCCGCCCACCCAACCCCAGATCAAACAAGGTCGCACTAGTGCAGCATAGCCAGTGATCGTCTGCTTCATGCAAGGTGACGGTGCAATTTTTTTTTTCTTGCGGAGAATCAGGCCAAGTTTGTACAGCAGTGGCGCCGTCAGGTTCCAAGACTGCAACAACACAAACTGTCAACTGTAACTAGATTATGACATGGGAATATAAACTTTATTATTGTTTTGAAAAGAAGAATAGTTTTAAAAAATGCATTCGGTTTTCTTAAATGGGATACCATTTTCAATTAGGAACTTAAATCAGAAGAATAGAAAAAAAATAATACAGACGAGACGTGTAGATTAGTCACAGGCGTAGCGAGGGGCGGGGGCGGGGGCGGGGGCGGGGACATATGTCCCCAGACGCCGACATTGAAAGTTTGAGGGGGGGGGGGTGTAAATGAAAAGTTCGAGGGGGGGGTGCACATCGAAAGTTTGAAGGGGGGGGGGTGCAAATCGAAAGTTTGTCCCCGGGCGCCGGGTAGGGTCGCTACGCCTCTGAGATTAGTGGTGTAATCTAACCTGAAGCGATTTCACAAAATTAAAACTAATTAAAGTAGATTTATATGGATTGAGATTAACAATTTATTAATACATAAAAGAGCGATTACTTTTCTCTAGGCAAATGTATTTACCATTCAACTATAAGGGAGGGGGGGTCGGTAATTTTGTGACGGTGTGTGATGAGGGGGAGGGGGGGGGGTTCAGATGGTGCGACACTTTTGCATTATAAAAAAGCAATGTTAGAAAACGAACTTTTTGACGTTATTTCGCGTTTTAGAAAACTGTTTTAATAAATTGTAATAGGAATTGATTAAAATACTCTATTTTGACAGAGTTCAGACAAGATTTTGGAAAAATATCGATGTTTAAAAAAAAAATTCAACTGCAATTTTCAGGGGGGGTTTTAGGCTGAGGTGTGACGTCATTTTAGGGGGGGGGGGTCTGGCTTTTTGTGACGACGTGTGACGGAGGGGAGGGGGGAGGTAAAAATCGTCCAAAAAAGCGTGACGTCATCAAGGGATGACCCCTACTTGTTTACTTTGAGAAGAAGACGTCACTCTGCAAATTTTTAAAACTTTGAACAATTTTCCCTATTTAGAAATCTAACATAAAACTCTTTTTAGCGCAATTTCCATACGGACAATTGCGATTATTAACTCGTCATTTCTGGATGGATGTATGAATGAATAATTGGATGTGTGTCCGCAGCTTTAAGTCGTATCTCCTCCTCAACGAAGCAATATCGAGGACTAGTTCCAAAGCAAATATGTTAAGCAAGTTCCGAGGATAATTGTGGGCCAAAAAAATTCCCGGAATTCCTTCCTGGATTTCCCGGAAAAGCCAAAAACCTCGAAAAAATGCAGTTTTTTTTGCCCATATCTCGGCAACCAGACAACTTAGCGACTTGAAACATTTACCAATAGATTCCTGCCATAATTTAGAACAATATTGCCGAAGAAAGTTTTCACAACTAATCTTTTCGTTCGGTCACAAAAAAATATTTACTACTTTTTTAAATTGAGCATCGTGTAGGCCTACTCGTTAAAATAAAACTATTTCCGTTGATATAGGTTAATATAGTTGTCTTTTTTTAGCGCAAAATTAACTTGTTTACTTATTAATTCAAACGTTTTTTTTTTTGTACCATATTAATTGATTTATAATTTATATGAGAGTGATAGGGAGTTACAATTACAAGGTTTTGTTTCACTAGGCCTAATCATTTTTTCACATTTTTTAAACACAAACTTGATCACTATCTATTTTTAGATAACATAAGGAAATTGCGCTTAAATTGTCACTAGAATTTTTATTAACTTGTTTTTTCTCTGTCTCTATCTTTTTTTTTCACCGCAGACATGTAATTTACAGTGTCAGTTTGCCTTGCATGTTCGCTTTAGTATTACAGTATTCACCATCGGCTTGTGCGGACTGATACAGATTTGATTTACAATAGTAATACTCCTTTCTTACTTGTAGCCTACTTTCATTCATTTAAGATAGTTTACTTATACATAGATCTAATACAAAACGTCTAATTACAATTTTTTTTAAATCTGAAAATGCAAATGTGTAATAAAATGGCGATTCAATGGATTTTTTTCCCCATCGGCGTGGTAGGCTGAGGGTTTTGGGCTTTTAAGTAGAGATGAAATAAATTTGGAATTAAAGAAAAATAAAATTATAAAATTTTTTAGCAACCGGAATGTTTTGTTGAGTACAATGAGACACATCAAATAAAACATGCGTCTCTTTCAAACATATATAGAAGACTATCTATAGCAGTTTTTTTTTTATTTAAATTTTATTTAAATCAATTATTAAAAAAAATTATTTAAATTTATTAACTTTTGGCTTTTGTTTTGTAACAGGAATATTCATGACTTGGTGTGTTAGGAGGGTAAACGAGAGATTTTTTTTTTTATTTTTATTCGAGAGATCTACGAGAGATCTTTTTTTTTTAAAATAATTATTTGTAGATTATAACTTTATAAACAATAAACAACTTTATTTCCAAACAAGCAATGTACATTGGCAGATTTGTTTCATCATATTAGAAAATCATAGATTTACATTTACACATTATATTTTTTCAATACCAAAACTTATTTTTTCTAATTGCGTTATTTGCAAATAGAAATAAGTACATCAGCATATGTAAGTGTGTGTGTGTGTGTGTGTGTGTGTGTGTGTGTGTGTGTGTGTGTGTGTGTGTGTGTGTGTGTGTGTGTGTGTGCGTGCGTTAGTCTGTAACAAAATTCAAACATTTACCAAAAAAAAAATTTCTTTTACAAGAAAAAAGTGGTGAACATTACTAAACAATGAATTGTCGATCAACAATACAAAGGAATGCAATTAGAAATAAAGAAATACAAAAATGATATGATAATCTTGAATGTTTTGACTATTTTGTTGGGAATTTGTTAGAATATAAACAAAAATTAATAGGAAATATTAACAGTATGTAAATAAAAAGGTAGAAAGCGATAAACAGATGCATATTAGATTCTAATCCTAATATATTATTCCCCATGTGCGCACTTCTCTCTGTCCGCAAAATATTTTCGCCGGACATCACGTCAGAATCGGCAGCGATATATGAAGAACTGTTTACGGACTTTTGTTGAAAATAATATGTTAGATGTTTTAAATGTATAGCCACAATTTTATTTAAAGAAGAAAAATAAAAAATAAAGGCGTATTCGAATACAGAGAAACAGTATTATTTATGCAACCGGAAAAGTGTATAAACTTGGGACAAGAACGCATTTAACAATGACGTCGCTTATTGTTTACACTAAAAAAAAGAGCACGAAACTGATGATGGACGTCGGAGACGGTCGGTTCTACACGCAGAAAATGTTGCGGCTAACACTACAAAAGCTTGTACCAGTTACCAAGGTAGTTTGCCAAAGGAACTATGCAGCAGCAGCTGGTGCAGCCCAAAATCTTGATCCCATCCAACAGCTTTTCTTAGATAAAATTAGAGAGTACCGTTCCAGATCTAAAGGAGGTGAATTAGTTGAGGTCACAGCAGAATCTGAAGCCGCCTTAAAGGAAATGCTAGGTAATCTGGCGAGGGCATTTGGAGCTAAAGGTGTTGATATGACCCAGTTTCCCAAATTGCAGTTTTCAGAACCCACTATTGCTTGGCCTGGGCTGAGTGATGAGCAGAAGGCCAAAATTGATCAGGCAGTTAAAGCTGAAGAAGCAGAACAGAAGAAGAAAGTAGCTGCCGAGGAAGAAGAGGAAGGTGATGGTGATGAAGAACTTCTTAAACTTTAAGAAGCTTAATTTTAGAATATTTTCAGTTTTTTGTTTTTTTTTTTCGGATTACGAGCTGTACAACATTAAATATTTTGTGGATATGAGAATAATTTAAAATGAACGTGAAAAAAAAAAAAAAAAAAAAAAAGAAACTGATGACGTCATCTTCCGAGTTTAGAATAAAAAGAAATGAACTATTTCATTCAAATATGATTTAGAGCTATGTACGCTATGAAATGTATACAGATTACAATACGATTTTCTCGGCCTAAACTTTAAAAAAATTATTTTATCTATTTGGATTCTAGATCTAGAGATTCTAGATCGAGATATTGATCTCGATCTATATATTCTAGATCATCTAGATCTAGAGATTCTAGATCTAGATCTAGATGATCTATAAAGCTAAGTTGTCGGGTGCCTGATAGGGCACTTCCCGGCGCCGCAGGCGCTTCAAATTTGGCAGGATCTTGCCTTGGGGCGACAGAACACGGGGGCCGGTTGGCCGAAAAGTCTACGATGAGTGGGTCAAAACTGACCTCGACTGACCGGCGCCTTATATGGGCGAATTAATTAAGCATTCAAATTCTCAATGTTTTCGAAAGCCCAAGCGAAGCTGGGCAGCATGCCTAGTTGGATACTAAATGGGAAGAGGATGGAGTTACCTTTTTTTTTTTCCTTTTTTTTTTTTTTTTGGAATGGAAATTATTCCCCTTTAGGCCTAACTTGCGGTAGACTCAAGCGGTAGTCTACTGACTACATCATGAAAAGACATGTGACACTGCAGTGGGGAGAGAAGTGTAACAACCGTTATTTGACACTTACTATTTTGAAGAATGTTTTTGACTTGGAGTTGCGTGAGAATGGTGCTGTGTAAAATATTAACCCATAGCTAAGCACTCTTTCTTTGGGTGTTTTTTAAATCAATTTTTTTTTTAATTTTTTTTTTTTACCTTTTTTTTTTCCTTTACTTTTTTAAAATAATTTTTATAACACACCGGGCGGAATGTTCGTACTACATATAACAGAGTAGGCGTCAAATATTAAAAATGAATGACTTAATTCCTTTAAAGCATTTCCACAATTACATCACTGCGTTAAATAAAACACATAGTTTAAAATTTGTAAATAAAATGGTATTGAATCATAGTACATTTTTAAAAATTTTAATCAAGAATAAAATAAACCATCAGGGCTTTTATGTTTGCTAATTTTTTTCCTATTGTAATTTTTTGCTACTTTAAAAACTATTAGCTCAAAGCGCGTCCCCTTTGTTGTACATAATTACAACATGGGAAGCTACTACAGTTTAAAATTTTAATTCAACATTAAACTGTTCTATATTTCAGCATTGCATGCCAAGCATTGTGTCTATTTAATACTTCATTGCATTAATTAAGATGTGTGTGTGTGTGTGTGTGTGTGTGTGTGTGTGCGTGTGTTTGTATGTAAACACCGATATATATCGTTACAGAAAATATTCACGTGTTATGGGGCTATGATTGTTGGAGCAAAAAGTATAAAAACACAGCGATAAGACAGTTCGCATTTCTGATTTTTTAAAATATTTTACTTTTGTCCTAATATCTTTCTCTCCGGTAACAACGCAAGCATATCTAATTTTTAATCTAATTAGGTATTAAATTATTCATTTAAGACATTGAACTCAATAGCAAACGGGGAGATAGCAAGAATAAGGCAAATAAGTTTTCGGGGTGTTGACTCAGTAAGAACAGACTGGAAGGAAAGGCACTAATTATTTTTTTTAAAATAACGATTTGCCATGTTAATCTTATCAACATCTAATTTACTATTTCCAATTTCTTATTTACTAAAAAGTTGAAAAGCTTTGTTTTTTTGTTGTTTTGTTTTGGACTTCGTTTGAAATCGCAGTGGACTGATACGTGATTTGTTAGTTGTGGTCGATTTCTTCCAGATAAGTTATCTATGACGACGACGTAAGAATATTTTTCAGGTTTTAAAAAAATATATAATTAGTTATTAAACTATTCATTTAACACGAATTTAACTATCACTTTATTTAGTAACAGAAAAGGGAGGTAACTACGTATTAACTAATCACACGATCTATCTATCAGATGAGCTGGTGTTACAGGATCAGAGTTTCTTCCAGGCAACCCTTCGGCAACTCCGCCCCCTCCCACCACCCCCCGAAGAAAGTCTACCGCCCCCCCCCCCCCTGAACGAGATGGATTTTATATAGTAAACATACACTTTTACTAGTGTCCGCCCCCCAAAAAATGTTGACCCCACCCCCGAAAATTTCCAAGTGCCCCCACCCCCCGGAGAAAAAAGTCTGGAAGAAACACTGTCCAGGATGGACCCCTTGTAGATAACGAGAGCTGGTTGTTGTTTAAAGTTAATATAGCCTGCTACCATAGGTGTAGCGGCCCTTCCCGGCGCCCGGGGACATATGTACCACCCTCGCTACGCCTCTGCTTGCTACTAATCGGGTTGTAAGTAATCAAATGTTACCGTGCTGGTTTACTGTCCATCTAATCATGTGACCTCGTCATACGAAGGGGTAGTTTGACCAGCACCATATATTTCGGGTTTAGTGCGAAGACAAAATTGGTTTACTCGTTTCTATAAATTAAGAGATCGCATGAGCGGTTTAAAATTTTATTATTAGATCTTCAGAAAAAAAGATTTAGTTTATTCTTTTAGTGCTTTTAAAAGACTGCTATTATATAGGGTTTTTTTTTAAACATGTTTCATATTTTATTATTTTGATTTAAATAATTGTGAACAGGGAAATGTCTCTATCCTATGATGAATGCTATTTTGGTGTCGTATATTACAGCTGTAGATATGCTATGATTAATTAGGCTGTTGTTGTTTTTATTATATGTGAACCACCCTTGACAGTGTACGATGGATTTGTGAACCACTTATTATATTGTGTTTCCTAATACTAATATAAATAGTATTAAATAGAACTAGATCTACCATAAATAGTACTCAAGGAGATATTCTAATTGCCAATTGCTGAAGTATTGTTTTATTCGAATTTTTTTTTTCAAAACATGAAAGGTATAAAACAATGCTTAAGAAAATATATAAAAACATGGTTTCATTTGTCAGTTTTATATCAAATATAGATCTATATCACATACAACAATTGAAAATGAATAAAAAATAGTTTTGTATTGATGTTAAATTATAACATAAATTTCATTCAATAATTTAACTTGTAAAATCGATATACCACAACCAGAGTACCATTACAGCAAGGTAACATATACATATAAATTGTATAAAATATTTGTATATACAAGAGCCAGACAATCTTACCTAATCAAAATCGTTAGCATGGAATCAGCATAAGTAAATCTTATGTCATGAATGATGTAAATCTTATGTCAGTATTTTAATTATAAACAAAACTATCTGCAGGGTAGGGAGGTGAAACTTTTTAGCCATGATATCAATCTTGTTCAAGGTTTCTTTCAGACATTTCTTTGAGGTTGAGGAGGACACTAATTAAAGTTTGCCTGTATATTTTCTATATCAATTATTTATATATTTTTTTCATTTGGAGAATTAGATGTGCATGGGGGGGGGGGGGGGTTGCCAGCACTATAACAACATGCCTGAAATAAAGATTTAAACTTCAATCTTCCCTCCTGATGCAAATCTTATGTCATGATTTTAATAGTCAGACATGATGCAAATCTTTTGTGACAATTGAAATTTTCAACCAGTTGAATATTCAATTAATACAATGTGAACACAATGAAAATATCAAGATTTTAAAATATATGTTTATAGAAGGCACGCATAATTATTTGAAACAGACAAATGAGAATAAGATAAAAACATTTTTTAACTCTTTAAACTTTCTAAACTGCCAAAGAGTAATCTAGAACACACTAGCATGTTCTAAACAAAAGCACCATACACATAAGACAAAAGCACCGAATACATAAGACAAATGCAAAGCACACATAAGACAAACGCACCATACACATAAGACAAAAGCACCATACACATAAGACAAAGCACTGTACACATAAGACAAAAACATCGAACACATCAGACAAAAGCACCGTACACATAAGACAAAAGCACCGTACACATAAGACAAACGCCCCATACACATAAGACAAAAGCACCGTACACATAACACAAACGCTCCATACACATAAGACAAAAGCACCATACACATAAGACAAAAGCACAATACACATAAGACAAAAGCACCATACACATAAGACAAACGCACCATACACTTAAGACAAAACCACCGTACACATAAGACAAAAGCACCGTACACATTACAAAACTATTTTGCTACCACCAACAGGATGCTAATGAAGACAATTTTGCTGTATCAAAGTGCCAGACAGAGGCGTAGCAAGGGGGAGCGGAGGGCGGGGTACATATGTCCCCGGGTTGGAAAAACAAATTAAAATCTCATTTTAGCTGCAGTTTTGCATTATAAATATAAAAAATATATGGGGGAGTGCAAATTGAAAGTTTGAGGGTGGGGTGCAAATTGAAAAGTCGTTCCCGAGGGGGCGCCAAGTTGAAAGCTTGTCCCTGGGTGCCGGGAAGGGTCGCTACGCCTCTTGTGCCAGATTGCCATTTTGGTAACTGAAATAAGAATAATTAACATCCGCTTCAAGCCCAGCCTCGTTAGCAGGCTTGGACTTGTAGAAGGCTGGGTCAGGGGACAGATGAGCCCTGGGGATGTCCCGTGTGTTGGCCCGTGTCACGAGGTTGGGGAAGAAACCGCTGGGGATGGAGGAGCCGATGGTACTGCTGTAGTCCTCCACAGGAGCGCTCTTTTGTTTTTTCCTTCTATAAATACTTAGGAAAAAAAATAAAAACATTACAAATTGTAGGATTTAAACATCTACTTTTTAAACAAAGTATTTATTTTCAATAAGGGGTCGTCCATAAATGATGTCACACTCGTAGGGGGGAGGGGGGGTCGGTAATTTTGTGACGATGTGTGATGAGGGGGAGGGGGGGTGTTCAGTCACACTTTTGCTTTATAGATAAGAAATGTTAGCAAACGAATTTTAGACGTTATTTAGCGTTTTAGAAAACAGTTTTAATAAATTATAATAGGAATTGATTAAAATACTCTATTTTGACAGAGTTCAGACAAGATTTTGGAAAAATATCGATGTTTAACTTAAAAAAAATTCAACTGCAATTTTGAGGGGGGTTTTAGACTGAGGTGTGACGTCATTTTAGGGGGGGGTCTGGCTTTTTGTGACGACGTGTGACGGAGGGGAGGGGGAGGCAAAAATCGTCAAAAAAAGCGTGACGTCATTTATGCATGACCCCTAATGTCCAGATATGTATTTTAGAATAATGCATAGGATTTATCTTAGAACAATGACCAGATAATCTTAGAACAATGACCAGATAATCTTAGAACAATGACCAGCCACTTATCTTAGAACAATGACCAACCACTTATCTTAGAACAATGACCAACCACTTATCTTAGAACAATGACCAACCACTTATCTTAGAACAATGACCAACCACTTATCTTAGAACAATGACCAAACACTTATCTTAAAAGAATGACCAACCACTTATCTTAGAACAATGACCTAGAACAATGAGCTAGAACAATAACCACCCACTTATCTTAGAACAATGACATAGAACAATGACCTAGAACAATGACCAACCACTTATCTTAGAAAAACGACCTAGAACAATGACCCACAACTTATCTTAGAACAATGAACTAGAACAATGAACTAGAACAATGACCAGCCACTTATCTTACAACAATGTCATCTCACTTATCTTAGAACAATGACCAACCACTTATTTTAGAACAATGACCTAGAACAATGACCTAGAACAATAACCACCCACTTATCTAAGAACAATGACCACCCACTTATCTAAGAACAATGACCAGTCACTTATCTAACAACAATGACCAAACACTAATCTTAAAAGAATGACCAACCACTTATCTTAGAACAATGACCTAGAACAATGACCTAGAACAATGAGCTAGAACAATAACCACCCACTTATCTAACAACAATGACCACCCACTTATCTAACAAGAATGACCAACCACTTATTTTAGAACAATGACCAGCCACTTATCTTACAACAATGTCATCTAAATTATCTTAGAACAATGACCTAACACTGATCTTACAACAATGACCAGCCACTTATCTTAGAACAATAACCTAGAACAATGAACTAGAACAATAACCACCCACTTATCTAAGAACAATGATCAGATACTTACATGGCAGCAATACACAGACCCAAGGCCACAAAGAACAACAGAGAGCCAATGACACCCACGACAGAGCCAACTATCACTTTGTACATGTCCTCATTAGCAGCTGTTGCTATTGGGCCAAAACATTCAGGTTTTAGTTTTATAGTCATGACATGGACACTCAGGGTTACAGTTAGTGAGTCAGAATATAAACAAATAACTTTCACTTTCATTGACAGAACTTTGACTCTCAGGATTACAGTCAGAGACCAAATATTTTTTCTGTGAAACTTTAAACTAAATATAGATCCACATATTCTACTGTTGTTGACAGTATATAGACTCAATTTTATATCAGAGATAGCACATAGACACTCAGGCTTACAATAATAGATAGAACATAGACACTCAGGCTTACAATAATAGATAGAACATAGACACTCAGGCTTACAATACTAGATAGAAGACACTCAGACTTACAAAAATAGACAGAACATAGACACTCAGGCTTAAAATAACAGACAGAACATAGATACTAAGGCTTACAATACTAGAACATAAACACTCAGGCTTACAATTATAGACAGAACATAGACACTAAAGCTTACAATAACAGACAGAACATAGACACTCAGGCTTACAATACTAGAACATAGACACTCAGGCTTACAATTATAGACAGAACATAGACACTAAGGCTTACAATACTAGAACATAGACACTCAGACTTACAATAATAGACAGAACATAGACACTAATGCTTAAAATAACAGACAGCACATAGACACTCAGACTTAGAATAACAGACAGAACATAGACACTAACACTTACAATACAGGAACATAGACACTCATGCTTACAATTATAGACAGAACAGTGACACTCAGGCTTATAATACTAGAACATAGACACTCAGACTTACAATTCTAGAACATAGACACTGCAAACAGCTGCACTTACCAACAGTACAGTCAGCTGAAGAGTTGGACTGGGCACTGGATGTTGTGTAGCCTGCTGGACAGGGCACACAGGTGTTGGCGGAGGACGGGCCTCTAAAAAATCCTTTCCCACAATCCACACACAAGTCCGCAGTCTCATTCCATTTCAGACCTGCAGGGCAGTTCACTGTCACAAGAAAGAAAAAAAATTAATAAAAACCACATGACCAATATAGGGCTTGTAACTCTCAGTCTATCTCACTTAAAATTCAAGAATTTCGTAAGCCAGGGTGAGATATAGATTTTCGAACCAAATTACATTTTTTAGATTCATTGCTTAATATTTTTAAAAACTCAACAGTGGTGGAAATAAATTTTTTACTGATTTAATAAAATATTCCCAATGGTTTGAAAAATACTAGCTGGCACATACAAGAAGTTGGTGACCTACTTACAAGCCCTTTTGTTTACCTATATCCCATTGAACAATAAACTCAGATTATATTATTTACATTTTTCTAAAACAATTCAGATTTGTTATTAGTTCTCAATTGGAATATTTGATTTCCCCCAACCCAATTAACTATTGCACCTCAATATGTTATGTGTCATATGGAAAGATAAGTCCAACTGCAGCCTGTTTTTCTTTCTATATATTATGCTTCCATAGTTTTTGTCCAGTCTAGTACAATCTGCAAGTCAGCAGTTGTTTAATTTTGGAGTTGTCTCTCCTAGATGGGTTATTGCCCTTTGATGGGTTGCTGTCACTATATGGGATAAAGTCCCCAGCTAGTAAGCCTCATCTGTCTGGGATTCTGAACTAGGGACTTTCAGGTAGCAAACTGTGTGCCCTACCCCAACCATTTAATAGTTTTAAAACATGAAAATGTATAGTACCAAAGCATGACGTTGACGCTGCCATTAGTGTTGTCTGCCCAACTGGACATGTCTTACAAGACGACTGCCCGCTTACATCTTGATAGAAACCAATCCCACAAGGCAGACATGAGTTTTGGGATGAGTTCCAGTAGTTACCAGCATTACAAATAGCTGAGGAAATTTAAACTTAAGTACTATAATATGTTGAAAAAAGTTTTCAAAATCTTAAAATATCTATATTTTCTTCTAACTTATCCAAAATACTTTTAAACACCAAATAAACATTTAAAAAAACTATCACCATTAAAAGTAAGCAGAGATTTAAAATTTATTTTTTTCTATTTTCAAACTATAACGATTTGACAAAATAATAAAAATGAACCACATATTGAATTATTTTTAAAATACATCATAAGAAATTTATTTTTATAATAGGACTATAATTATAAAATCATTTCTTACCCAAAGAACAGTCATTTAGTGAAGTCGAGTTGATGCTGACTGTAGTCAAATTATCTGGGCATTTTTCACACACATTTTGTAAGGAAGAATTCCTATAGAAACCTTTCTGACACCCTTCACAAACTTTGGTGGTATTGTTCCACTGCTGGCCAGATGGACATATACCTAAGAAAAACATGAATGTCTTAGTTTTTATAATTATATAGTAGGCCTATATGACAATACTACTCGTTTAAAAAAAAAATTGGATTTTAAAATTTGCATGACATATCTTTAAAAATCTGATTAAAATATGTATGATGTATCTTATAAATTATTTTATAAAAATGAAACAAAAAATGTATAGAATATTAACCTAAAAACAGTCATTCCATTCTGTAGAGTTTTATGCCCAAAAAAGAAGAAAATGAATGTCATTTCTATTTTAAAATAAAAAATAAATAAAAATACTTACCAACTGAGCAGTCAGTTACTGAAGTAGAGTTGATGCTGACTGTTGTTGAATTAGTTGGACATTTTTCACACACATTTTGTAAGGAAGAATTCCTATAGAAACCTTTCTGACAACCTTCACAAACTTTGGTGGTATTGTTCCACTGCTGGCCAGATGGACATATACCTAAGAAAAACATTAATGTATTAGTTTTTATAATTATATAGTAGGCCTTTATGACAAAAATACATGTTATGAAAAAAAAGAATTGGATTTTTAAATTTGCATGACATATCTTTAAAAATCTGGTTAAATACGTATGATGTATCTTATAAATTATTTTATAAAAACGAAACAAAAAATGTATAGAATATTAACCTAAAAAGGAAGTCAATCCATTCTGTAGAGTTGTATGCCCAAAAAAGAAGAAAATGAATGTCATTTCAATTTTAAAAATTAAAAAAAATAAAAATACTTACCAACTGAGCAGTCAGTTACTGAAGTAGAGTTGACACTGACTGTTGTTGAATTAGTTGGACATTTTTCACAAACATTTTGTAAGGAAGAATTCCTATAGAAACCTTTCTCACACCCTTCACAAACTTTGGTGCTATTGTTCCACTGCTGGCCAGATGGACATATACCTAAGAAAAACATGAATGTCTTAGTTTTTATAATTATACAGTAGGCCTATATGACAAAAATACATGTTACGAAAAAAGAATTGGATTTTTAAATTTGCATGACATATCTTTAAAAATCTGGTTAACATATGTATGATGTATCTTATAAATAATTTTTCAAAAACAAAACAAAAAATGTATAGAATATTAACCTAAATTGGAAGTCGATCCATTCTGTAGAGTTGTATTCCCAAAAAGAAGAAAATAAATGTCAATTCAATTTTAAATTTAAAAAAATTTTAAATACTTACCAACCGAGCAGTCAGTTACTGAAGTAGAGTTGACGCTGACTGTTGTTGAATTAGTTGGACATTTTTCACACACATTTTGTAAAGAAGAATTCCTATAGAAACCTTTCTGACAACCTTCACAAACGTTGATGCTATTGTTCCACTGCTGACCAGATGGACATATACCTAAGAAAAACATGAATGTATTAGTTTTTATAATTATACAGTAGGCCTATATGACAAAAATACTCGTTAAAAAAAAGAATTGGATTTTTAAATTTGCATGACATATCTTTAAAAATCTGGTTAACATATGTATGATGTATCTTATAAATAATTTTTCAAAAACAAAACAAAAAATGTATAGAATATTAACCTAAATTGGAAGTCGATCCATTCTGTAGAGTTGTATTCCCAAAAAGAAGAAAATAAATGTCAATTCAATTTTAAATTTTAAAAAATTTAAAATACTTACCAACCGAGCAGTCAGTTACTGAAGTAGAGTTGACACTGACTGTTGTTGAATTAGTTGGACATTTTTCACACACATTTTGTAAAGAAGAATTCCTATAGAAACCTTTCTGACAACCTTCACAAACGTTGATGCTATTGTTCCACTGCTGACCAGATGGACATATACCTAAGAAAAACATTAATGTATTAGTTTTTATAATTATACAGTAGGCCTATATGACAAAAATACTCGTTAAAAAAAGAATTGGATTTTTAAATTTGCATGACATATCTTTAAAAATCTGGTTAACATATGTATGATGTATCTTATAAATAATTTTTCAAAAACAAAACAAAAAATGTATAGAATATTAACCTAAATTGGAAGTCGATCCATTCTGTAGAGTTGTATTCCCAAAAAGAAGAAAATAAATGTCAATTCAATTTTAAATTTAAAAAAATTTAAAATACTTACCAACCGAGCAGTCAGTTACTGAAGTAGAGTTGACGCTGACTGTTGTTGAATTAGTTGGACATTTTTCACACACATTTTGTAAAGAAGAATTCCTATAGAAACCTTTCTGACAACCTTCACAAACGTTGATGCTATTGTTCCACTGCTGACCAGATGGACATATACCTAAGAAAAACATTAATGTATTAGTTTTTATAATTATACAGTAGGCCTATATGACAAAAATACATGTTACGAAAAAAGAATTGGATTTTTAAATTTGCATGACATATCTTTAAAAATCTGGTTAACATATGTATGATGTATCTTATAAATAATTTTTCAAAAACAAAACAAAAAATGTATAGAATATTAACCTAAATTGGAAGTCGATCCATTCTGTAGAGTTGTATTCCCAAAAAGAAGAAAATAAATGTCAATTCAATTTTAAATTTAAAAAAATTTAAAATACTTACCAACCGAGCAGTCAGTTACTGAAGTAGAGTTGACGCTGACTGTTGTTGAATTAGTTGGACATTTTTCACACACATTTTGTAAAGAAGAATTCCTATAGAAACCTTTCTGACAACCTTCACAAACGTTGATGCTATTGTTCCACTGCTGACCAGATGGACACATACCTAAGAAAAACATGAATGTATTAGTTTTTATAATTATACAGTAGGCCTATATGACAAAAATACTCGTTAAAAAAAGAATTGGATTTTTAAATTTGCATGACATATCTTTAAAAATCTGGTTAACATATGTATGATGTATCTTATAAATAATTTTTCAAAAACAAAACAAAAAATTTATAGAATATTAACCTAAATTGGAAGTCGATCCATTCTGTAGAGTTGTATTCCCAAAAGGAAGAAAATAAATGTCAATTCAATTTTAAATTTTTAAAAATTTAAAATACTTACCAACCGAGCAGTCAGTTACTGAAGTAGAGTTGACGCTGACTGTTGTTGAATAAGTTGGACATTTTTCACACACATTTTGTAAAGAAGAATTCCTATAGAAACCTTTCTGACAACCTTCACAAACGTTGATGCTATTGTTCCACTGCTGACCAGATGGACATATACCTAAGAAAAACATTAATGCATTAGTTTTTATAATTATATAGTAGGCCTATATAACAAAAATACTCGTTTAAAAAAAATAATTGGATTTTAAAATTTGCATGACATATCTTTAAAAAATCTGGTTAAAATTTGTATGATGTATCTTATAAATCTAATATATAAAGCTCAATTCTGTATGTTTGTATGTTTGTAATCGAGGATTACCAGATGGACATATACCTAAGAAAAACATGAATGCATTAGTTTTTATAATTATATATATATGACAAAAATACTTGTTTAAAAAAAATTGGATTTTAAAATTTGCATGGCATATCTTTAAAAATCTGGTTAAAATATGTATGATATATCTTATAAATTATTTTATAAAAACAAAACAAAAAAATGTATAGAATATTAACCTAAAAATGAAGTCGATCCATTCTGTAAAGTTGTATGTCCAAAGGGAAGAAAATGAATGTCATTTCAATTTTAAAAATAAAAAAAAATAAAAATACTTACCAACTGAGCAGTCAATTACTGAAGTAGAGTTGATGCTGACTGTTGTTGAATTAGTTGGACATTTTTCACACACATTTTGTACGGAAGAATTCCTATAGAAACCTTTCTGACAACCTTCACAAACTTTGGTGCTATTGTTCCACTGCTGACCTGATGGACATATACCTAAGAAAAACATGAATGCATTAGTTTTTATAATTATAGAGTAGGCCTATATGACAATAATACTCGTTTCAAAAAAAAAGAATTGGATTTTAAAATCTGCTGACCAGATGGACATAAGGCTAAAATGGATAATCTTGCTGTAAATTATATGGACCAAAACTAATGTTAATTTATCTACTGTCAACTAAATTTTATGTAATAGTTTTCTCACAAATAAATACTGCACTAATAAACTATATATGGAAAAAAAATGAAAATACCAAAATAAATTCATTTCTTCTGATTAACATTTTATTACATTATTTAACAAAGATTTTTTTATTATGTAAATATGTGATGAAATCTAAATCTACTTATTTAATAACTGAATATTTTGCCTTATAGAACCCTAAAGGTTCATGCACTTAACACAGAGCATTAGATAAACTTACTTATACAGAGACTTGACAAGTCACTTCCTTTCTTATATGTGGTTGACCCTGGTGGACACACAGTACACAAAATCTGGCCATAGCTTTCAGAATACTGGCCAATGGGGCAATTCTCACAGGTCTCAAGAGTGCTGTTGTAGTAAGTGCCAGGACCACATGAAACTAAAAGAATCTTTTTTTTTAATATACTTGATATTGTAATTTAAAATTCTGTGCTTTGGTTAATAAATGGGATTTGGCCAGATTTTTAAAGTTACTGTTTACTATAATATTTCAGTTCTTGGGTTACATTATAAACTGAATCTGAATTTTTTAAATATCAACTCAGTCTGAGTTGTTTAAATAATTTAACTTAAACATTTTTTAAATCTTTTAAATTAGCCAAACATTCTAATATTTATATATATATATATTTTTAACTAAAATACCACCATGTTGGTCTATTTTCTACACTATTCTTCGATAATTTTGTCAATTAAAAATAAGAATTTTACAACAAATGATGGTTCAAATTTTTGGTAAATAACCATAAATTTTAAAGTAATAATTTAAGTTTATAAGATACTAGTTTTAATATAATGTTTCTAAAGTATTTTATTTACATATGAATAAGTTTGTAAAAAAAAACATTAAAAATTACTAACCGCAGCTGCCGTATCTGACCACTTGGCCAACTGGACATATAGGTTTTATGTTGACAACAAAATCATCTTTGTTCAAATTATTAGAGCTAATGTCCTAGGTCAATAGCAAAAATGTTAAAATGTTATTCATTTAATTATGAAAGTTTAAAAAAAAAAATCAACATGACCACATTGTAATTCACCGAAACAAAACCTATTGGTGATGCACTAGGCTTCTTTGATTTCATTATTAAAGTACAATGTCTCCATAAAGCTAGAAAGAAAATTTCATAAACTCTCCTACAGTTTCCTTACCTCTAGGCTAAACATGTTATCATCCAATGCTGCAACTTGGAAAATGTCTCCAATGGAAATAGTTTTAGTGCCATTCTGTACATTGGCACTGAAAAATCATTTCACATATTTTTTTGTTTTTATAAGGTTAAAATCCTAAAACACTCCCCTCCCCCTACCTTCTCTACATGAAATGTTAGACATTACACCTGAAAAATAATGCAGGTTCAAGAATTTCAGCTAAACTGACATACAATATTGCTGCAATTTTTATTTTAGCTTAAGCATACCTGAGGTTAGCTATAATGACATTGACACTTGATTTATTTACTGATGAGGTGCAAGCTACCTGGACATCTGAACAGTCAGTTGTGACACAAAGCACTGGTCCCCATGTTTGCTGAAGCTGGTAAAATTAAGTTAAATGTTCATGTTTATTATGATAATTGTTTTCATTAGCCTTCATGTTAATATTGATAACTGTTTTAATTAACTTTTGAGTTTATCATGATTGTTTTAATCAACTTTCAAGTTTATCCAATTTTTTAATAAAGATTATTTTAATTATTATTATAGTGTGGCTAATTTTTATGTTATTTTAACATTGATTAATTAAAAATTTAAGGCTGCACATCGTGAAAGGAAAACCTTTATGGGAGACTGGTTAACATAAAAAATATGACTAAATAAATACCAACATTTAACGAAACACGTTCATGAGTTCTTCTTGATACAGTAGCCCTTATAAAATTAGAGTTATTGCTTAAATTTATTTTCCAGCATTGAATGACATTAAAATACTAATAAAATTAAATTTTTAAGTTATTGTTTTTATCAGAAGGACCAGCAAAAATTGTATTTACCAGTTTGATTTGATTCTGAATTTTCTTTTTGACAGCTTGAACTTGAATTGCCAACCGACATAGAGAGCTATTTGTGTAGGTCAACATTAGCTCTACATTGACTTTAGATTCACCTTCAACTCCTGAATTGGAAAAAATGATACGCTTTGAGACACCTACTTTATGTCACTGACATCTTCTATACCTACCCCATTCGGAACATCAAATTGTGCTTTGCAGTATCTACCAAACATGTGCAACACACGTAGAAATAAATCACTAACAGGTGCAACATAGTTATAGTTAAGGCAGTAATAAAATCACAGGTAGAGATTTGACAACTTGCAGATATAGTACAGTGCAACGTTAAGACAATAGTTAGTAGCCAGGTAAAAATTTAATGACTTACAGGTATTACACAGTGCAAAGTTAAGACAATAATTAATTACCTGGTAAAGATTTAATTACGTACAGGTATAACAGTTGCAAAATTAAGATAAGTAATTAACTGGTTAAGATTTAATTGCATACTTGTATAACAGTTGCAAAGTTAAGACAATAATTAATTACCAGGTAAAGATTTAATTACGTACTTGCATAACAGTTGCAAAGTTAAGACAATAATTAATTACCTGGTAAAGATTTAATTACGTACTGGTGTAACGGTTGCAAAATTAAGATAAGTAATTAACTGGTAAAGATTTAATTGCATACTGGTATAACAGTTGCAAAGTTAAGACAATAATTAATTACCAGGTAAAGATTTAATTACGTACTGGTATAACAGTTGCAAAATTAAGAAAATTAATTACCTGGTAAAGATTTAATTAAATACTGGTATAACAGTTGCAAAGTTAAGACAACAATTAATTTCCTGGTAAAGATTTATTACGTACTGGTATAACATTTGCAAAGTTAAGACAATAATTAATTACAAGGTAAAGATTTAATTACGTACTTGTATAACAGTTGCAAAGTTAAGACAATAATTAATTTCCTAGTAAAGATTTAATTACATACTGGTATAACAGTTGCAAAATTAAGACAATTAATTACCAGGTAAAGATTTAAAATGACTTACTACCACATGCTGGATACAGGCCATCTGTGAGAGTGACCCAGTCCCCATCAGGCCCACAGGTGAAGTATCCAGGGGTTTCCTTAATTAGTGCAGGTTTCTGGACAGGTAACTGGGCTGGGCAGGTGAGTGTGCAGTAGGAGAACGAGTTGGCAGATGCACAAGTTTGGTTACCTGCACCTCGTGGGTTAGGGAGTTTTGGACAGAACTCACCTGGAACAGGCAAAGGTTTTGGGGTTATATCACAAAACAATGTAAGTAATATCACAGCACAATGTAAATATAATTAGTGGACTATAATATCACAGCACAATGTAAATAATATTAGTGGACTATAATATCACAGCACAATGTAAATAATATTAGTGGACTATAATATTACAGCACAATGTAAGTAATATTAGTGGACTATAATATCACAGCACAATGTAAGTAATATTAGTGGACTATAATATCACAGCACAATGTAAATAATATTAGTGGACTATAATATCACAGCACAATGTAAATAATATTAGTGGACTATAATATCACAGCACAATGTAAATAATATTAGTGGACTATAATATCGCAGCACAATGTAAGTAATATTAGTGGACTATAATATCACAGCACAATGTAAATAATATTAGTGGACTATAATATCACAGCACAATGTAAATAATATTAGTGGACTATAATATCACAGCACAATGTAAATAATATTAGTGGACTATAATATCGCAGCACAATGTAAGTAATATTAGTGGACTATAATATCACAGCACAATGTAAATAATATTAGTGGACTATAATATCATAGCACAATGTAAATAATATTAGTGGACTATAATATCACAGCACAATGTAAATAATATTAGTGGACTATAATATTACAGTACAATCTAAATATTAGTGTACATTGGTAATATAAGGCTAAACAGTGTACGATGGTAAAAAAAGACTAAAATATTAGTGTACAATGGTCAAATTTTACCAAATTATTACAGTACAATAGTAACATAAGACTTACATATTAGTGTACAGTGGTAAAAATAAGATTAAAATATTTATTAAGTCACGTATAATCCTAGCAAATTGTAAGCTATAATTCTAAGCTTTATTCCAGCACATCGTAAATCTAGTCCATTTAAAGCGAAGTACAACATAAAGTTAAACAAATATAATGACAGTGACATATAAGCTTAATCACATATATAATCTCTGCACAACATAGTTAATCCACCATATAATCCCAGCATAAGCCCCAATGATGGCTTGACTTACTATTTACATAAACAGAGAATGTGCAGACCACAGCATTGCCTGTCTTATCCCTGCCTACATAGCTCACTGTGTGTTGTCCAAGAGAGAAGTTTGCTCCTGGTGGTAAAAAATTGTTGTACTTGTATAAGCAGAATGGTTACAGTTGTAAGTCTGATGGTTGGTCAGAATGGCTTCTCTTATATAGGCAGAATGGTTACAGTTGTAAGTCTAATGGTTAGTCAGAATGGCTTCTCTTATATAGGCAGAATGGTTACAGTTGTAAGTCTAATGGTTAGTCAGAATGGCTTCTCTTATATAAGCAGAATGGTTATAGTTGTAAGTCTAATGGTTAGTAAGAATGGCTTCTCTTATATAAGCAGAATGGTTACAGTTGTAAGTCTAATGGTTAGTAAGAATGGCTTCTCTTATATAAGCAGAATGGTTATAGTTGTAAGTCTAATGGTTAGTAAGAATGGCTTCTCTTATATAAGCAGAATGGTTACAGTTGTAAGTCTAATGGTTAGTAAGAATGGCTTCTCTTATATAAGCAGAATGGTTACAGTTGTAAGTCTAATGGTTATTAAGAATGGCTTCTCTTATATAAGCAGAATGGTTACAGTTGTAAGTCTAATGGTTAGTCAGAATGGCTTCTCTTATATAAGCAGAATGGTTACAGTTGTAAGTCTAATGGTTAGTCAGAATGGCTTCTCTTATATAAGCAGAATGGTTACAGTTGTAAGTCTAATGGTTAGTCAGAATGGCTTCTCTTATATAAGCAGAATGGTTACAGTTGTAAGTCTAATGGTTAGTCAGAATGGCTTCTCTTATATAGGCAGAATGGTTACAGTTGTAAGTCTAATGGTTAGTCAGAATGGCTTCTCTTATATAAGCAGAATGGTTACAGTTGTAAGTCTAATGGTTAGTAAGAATGGCTTCTCTTATATAAGCAGAATGGTTATAGTTGAAAGGGGTTGGCGTAGTTGAGTCGGTAAAGCTCATGGTTGCTAACCCGAAACGTCTCGGACAGAAGAGGCTTATTAGCTAGAGAAAGCCACTTTTCTAGGAGTGACAACCCCAAAATCAAACAACTGCTGCCTTGGTTGGACAAAGGCAATGGAAGCAAATCCAAAGAGAAAAGCAGGCTGAAATCGGAGTCTATGTCCTCAATAGTGCATAACCAGTTGACATGTATACTTAATTGTGTTGGAGGTGGATCTCTTCCAATACTAAAATTAAGAACGAAGAAGAAGAAAGTCTAATGGTTAGGCAGAATGGCTTCTCTTATATAGGCAGAATGGTTAGTTTTTTGTCAGTCAAATAGTTTAGTGTACAAACAGAATAGCTAGTTTTATAGATAAAATGGCTTTTCTCCAATAGGGAGAGTGATTACAGGAGTAAGTTTAATGGAGCTTTATAAAGTGAATAAAATTTATTTAAAAGTGCTATAGTTAATGTAAAATGTCTTACACAAAAGAAAGTGTAACTTTAAGTTTCTGAAGCATATTCTAATAGCTGTTATGAATATTTAACCGATTGTTTTACAGTTTAAATTAGAGCCAAAAAATAATTCATAACTTACTAAAATATGAAGTACATAACATAGTAATGTTGTATTTGTATTACTTATATTACATTAAAAAATAAATAGTAATTATTATTTTTATTTTCTTACTATATTTTATTAAAAGACTTTTTATAATGTAGTTGAAAGTTTTTTCCCTTGGTTGTTTTTAATATTCAATAAATGGGAAGTAACTAATACAATGAAAAATAGTTCTAATTGGTGACACACAGTTTGATTTTATCTATATCCAGAATTTGAAGGTAGCTGTGTTTTTCATACAAAATTTTTTAAATCTAAGAAAACAATGGGACTGTACTCTGAAACACCTATGTGCAAACATAAGCCTTTTTTACAGTTTGTTTAATAATAAAAATGTGAAGTAGGGCTAGACCAACCTGGTGTATGGCTGGATGTAACATTCACATAATTTAAAAATGTAGGAACTCCCCAGTAGACAGGGACCACATCCTGAGTTGTATTCTGCTGAATGTTCGGTGGACAGAACAGTACAGAAAGCAGATCTAAAAAAATTTGCATAGGAAAATAAATGGGTACCTGAGCATTGAACAATTTGTCAATTTAATTCAAACTTTGTCTCAGAATTACTTGTGAAAAATTAATAAACAGCTTTAATTTAAAAAGTTAAGTATTATTCAAATTCCTCTATACTTAAAAACAACAATGAAAACAAATGTCTGAATATTTTTCTAAAATATCACTTAGTATAATAATACCCAGGGGCAGGGTAGTTGAGAGGTAGAGCGCTTGATGGCTGACATGAAAGTCAAAAGTTTGGATCTCGGACTAGATCTAGTATCCTGTAGGACATCCTTGAGTCAACCCAGGTCTGATGGGTACCTGGCTTATGTTAGGGATTATGATAACCACACCATCCCCAGGTCTTGAAACATGTGAACTCTACTTCATATACCTTGTGGATCATTAGATCTAAACAGTGCTTCTTCCAGACTTTTTCCCTGGGGAGGGGGGGGGGGGGACCTAAAATTTCCAGGAGGGCGGACACTGATAAAAGTATATATTTTCTATATAAATTCCATTTTTTGTTCGCGTGTGTGTGGGGGAGGGGGGGGGGGGCGGTAGACTGGAAGAAACTCTGGGTCTAAAAAGGGAATATTACTTTATCTTACTTATAATTATACCCTAGTGAAAATAATGTACCTTTGACAGAGCTGCAAGATGAACACGTGGTCACATTTACCAAAGATGGATGATTCAGATCAAAGTTGCCATACGCACTGAGTTCTCCCCATCTCGAAATATTCCCTGGAATTTTGTTGAGATTCCCCTCCAACATCTTCAGGTCAGTGTCCATGTTGAGGTTATAGTTCAGCATGTCTAGCTGTGATACACAGCCTACAAACTCTGTCTGAACTCTGACACTTGTTTCATCTCTACCAATAACAGGAAGTGACCTATGGGGTCAAATAGTAGAGGCATCAATTGAATGAATTAATTTAGTGTAAACATCTTTTTTGGTGCTGAGCTAAGTAAACACAAAAATTAAGATTTAGCTACATACAAAAAGCTACATTCCCTAAGGAAACTTTCAGATTTACAAATTTATGTAAAGAACTGTTAAAAGGTACTATGTACAGAATGGCTAAAAAAAAAGTGGAGAATAAATGTTTTTAAATCATGTGTAGTGTTTTAATTTAATTTTAAATGTATTGAATTTTGGACAAAATCTTAATTAAACCTGAAAGCAACAGCTGATTAACAGAATTACAAAGCCTGCAAATGGGGATGGGTAGGACACACAATGAGAAGAGGAGGATAGCATCATGTGCCAAACATAGGACTGGAACCACCAGGGGAAAAGAAAAATAGGGCAGCTTGAACAATCCTAGGGAAAGACAGTAGAAGGAGAAGCAAGCACAGCTGGGCTTACATGGGCTGAACTAAAGAGATCTGCCCAAAACAATGTTGGATAGAAAGGTGTAGCTGCAGCCCTTGACTCCTCAGGGACTTGAAAGGATTGAATAAGTAAAGTCAAATTAACAATTATTATAACAACTTCATTGAGTGGTTTTTAAGTTTATTCATTTTCTATACACTGGGTTTATTTGTTGTTATTAATATTTTTGGGTAATAAACAAAATTAGTGTATGAGATGGCGTGGTCAAATGGTAGAGTGTTCACCTGCTAGCAGAGACAAAGGGACCCTTCCCCGCGCCCGGGGACAAACTTTTGATTTGCACCCCACCCCCATCAAACTTTTAATTTGCACCCCCTCAAACTTTCAATTTGTTTTTCCAACCCATTTTGGCGCCCCCTAAGGTCAGCGCCCCCTAAGGTTGGCGCCCAGGGACATATGTCGTCCCCCCCCCCTCGCTACGCCTCTGGCTGCTAGCCCAAAGATCCTTAGTAAGGATCTTTGTTCAGACTCAGAACTGCTCTGATATGTACCTAACTTGTAAAGGCAGCTAGGTAATGTTGACATATAATTGTGTACAGTTTAAACAGTTGTAAACAAACCTACCACTCTAAACTAGACCAGGAGGTAACAGTGGAAGAGTTTCTCTTGACAAAATCAACGGCCAAGTTAACCTGCGAGGTGGCCTTGTCCCAGGTGGCCACTATGTGATGCCAGTGGCCATCATTAACTAACACATTGCCATAGGCCAAAAAACTTGAGCCATTGAGTGTTAAACCTGCATTGTCCAGTGCAAACACAACACCTGTAACATCAGTCACATACTGACTCCTGGAAAAATGTAATGCATCATACAATTTAACATATCTAATGCGTCTCATTTAAGCAAACTGATCTTAATGTTACTGGCTGGACCAAGTTTATTTGGTCTATACCATTATTATATGAAAATTTAATATTCAATTAAATAATATGAACTATCTTGATACAGATTTCATCCAGCTAATCTGTAATTGAACTGCTAGTTGTAAGATGGAGTAAGAAATGCACTTTCACAAAACAGGGGAAAGCAACTCAATTTTAAACCTTTCTAGTAATTTAAACAACTGTAAATAATTTGTCTACCCTAGTACAGACTGCAATGGTCAACATTGCTACAACTGCTAATGCAACTGAGTACTGCTGGCAGCCCTAATGTTGACCAATACAGTAAGCATTGTGATAACAGCTTACATAAAACATCTACAATTTAGAAATCTAAAATGTTGATACTTGATAAAAACGGAACAAAACATTCACATTTTAATTAAATACAAGATTTTTTAAACATTTAATATTATCAATGCTACCAAGATAGTATTTAGTCAAATATTTTAGATAAAATTAATATATTTTGACCTGGCTTTGAGGAGCGTAAAAAAAGCTCCTGTAGATCCTGGCAGGGTGTACTTGACCCAGAGTTTGATGGTGAAGCTTGAGCTAGTGAGGACAGGGAAGTGGAGGCTGGCACCAGTAATGTCCAAAGATGGTCGTAGACAAATGTCAAAGTCATCACTGGCATCTGGGGGTTACGCAAGTAATATAACGAGATAGGTCTTATACAGTTTTAAAGACATCAACAGGAAAAATTCTGGGCATAATATAGTAAAATGTGAGATTTATCTTAAACAAATTCTGGGCATAAAGGAAGTAAAAATTAGAAAATGAGATCTTTTCATTTGTGGATCTAAGGGATGCTTTAGTTGATACAAACAGAAGGTGTAGCCATTGGTTAACATTACACATTATTTGAACACTTGTGTCTGCATGTGCTACTGATCTGGCAGGTAACATTAAAGTTTGCCAGATAGAGGCTTGAGGACTTGATATAAAAATACCTGTCTCACCTTCAGTGCAACCTGTTCCTGTTTTACCCAGAGGACATCTACAGAAAGCTGTTCCAGAGCCATCAATACACACAGACGTGGCAGGGCAGGCTTTGTTTACACAGTTATTGACGTGATTCTCACAGTTCTCACCAGTAAATTCTGGTCCAAAACAAATTTATGAAAGTGGTAGCCTACTAACTTAGTTAAATACAATAATTATTATTATACATACATTTAAACATGCAATGTAATACAGCAAACTATACATACAATGTTTAGAGTTTACTACTGTCACAGTAAGTGACAGGTGTCATTGTCTAGTTAACACTACAGATAGGAAGGAAGGAAGGAAGGAATGACACACTACAGAGTGGCTTATATTATAGAAGTTTAAATCTTACCACTGACACAATCACAGACAGGCGCCAAAGTCTGGTTAACCCTACAGGTTCCACCATTGTAACAAGTTTTATTGTTACACAAATTGCTGAGAGGACATCCACTGGAATTTGTGCCTAATTTAAAAAAAAAAAAAAATTTCTTAATATACAGGTACATAAGCACTTCACTATCTAATGTCAAAAGAGATTTTTTCATCAAAAATTCTCTACAACTGTAAAGAGGGAGTTACCTAAGAGACAGGAGCAGTTGTTGCTGGAAGAGGGACAAGCATCAAAGCATGAGTTTGGGTAGCTGCAGGCGTTTTGACAAGTTTTTCCATAGGTTTGAGATGGGCAGCTGAAGAGGGAGGGGGTGGGGGGTGGAGGGGAACAAAATCACCAGTCATTTACAAAGTTAGAGGCTACAGTTGTTAAGTCATTAATTAAATATGCTCATTAGCTTAAAAGTAATTTGAGTTCTTGATGGAAAATAAATACTTTGTCACACTTATGAAAGAGAACACAATTTAAATTCATTATTGAATTTCAATGCTTTTATTTCCATAGTTTTATTTTGCTGTAATTGCCATTTAACAGGTCACAGAAAAATAGCTCAAATTTTAATATCATTTTCAAACAAACAAATAAATTGATACTGCAATAACCATTTAAATTTAAAACAGGAATATAAATATACTCAAATTCTAATAAAATGTATTAGTCTTTGATATAGATACATTTTTAAAGGACTTTACAGTAACTTACTTGCAGTAAAAATCATTAATTAAGTTAAAGCACTCAGCACCAGTACCACAAGGCTGAGATGGTGAACACAAGTCTATCAGGGTGTCACACTGGATTCCAGTCCAACCTGGGGAACACTCACACACAAACCCATTTGTGGCATCAGTGCAATTGCCATTGTGGCAAGGCTGAGAGAGGCAGTCATCCACAGGAGTCTACAAGAGGCCAGATAAATATTTTAGTTTTTATGGTAAATTTTGGTAAGGGATGAATATATTTTTTTTACTTCTAATGTACATTTTTGGTGAAAGGAAAAATACAGTGATGTATAATTTTATTGTATAAAAATAAATTTTTTTGGGGGGAAAACATATTAGGACATGATTAGTACAGTGATAGTACAGTTTAACAGCATTATAAATATACTTATTTTATAATTTTAATTTGTAATAAATGAAAAAAAAACCTTAAACGAAAATTAAAACAAAACAAGTTCACAAAAAAAAAACTTTAAACTAAAATTAAAAAAAAAACAAGTTCACAAAAAAAAAAACTTAAACTAAAATTAAAACAAAACAAGTTCACACAAAAAACAACAACTTTAAACTAAAATTAAAACACAAGTTCACAAAAAAAAAAAAAAAAATTTAAATTAAAATTAAAACAAAACAAGTTCACAAAAAAAAATCTTAACACACCTGACACATCAGACCAGTGTAGCCTGGCTTACACACACAGGTGTACTGGTTCACCCCATCCACACAGTTGCCCCCTGTTGTGTTACAGCTTGCACGCAGGCAGTCATCTATGTTTAATTCACATCGCACTCCTATCAACAAAAGATTATCTCCCTTTATTTAAGTACAATTTACAACAATAATATATTTAGTCAAATTTTAAAGAATATTTATTGAACTTGATATTTATTATTATGATTTAGGCCTACTGCTAAATGAAAATTGATTGCAATCCTGATTTTATAACCTTAAAAAAATAAGAAAATCAACTATTTTAAGGCTTAAGTTTCTTTTAACATAACCAGATATATCAAAACAAAACATATTTTGTTTTCGTTTTATTACTGAGATTTCACAAACAAACAAAAACATTACAACATAATCAATACACGATTTACTAAAGTTTAATAACCTCACACTAACCTAATAAAAATTGTTAACAAAAGACAAAAGTGGTCATTTTTTTTAACAAGCCCTAACTTTCTTGTTTTAATTTCATTTCTACAGTTAGTAAAGGATATAAATCGATATATAGAGAGAAATAGGCCTCCATACCTGTAAAGCCAGGTGCACAAATACAGGTGGTGTTCAAGAACCCATCGACACAGGTAGCTCCATTAAGACATGTCTGCGCACCTCCCTTCTGGCACTCATCTATGTCATGCTGACACTGAGCACCTTCATATCCAGGTAGGCACTCACACAGGTAGCCAGCGTCCCGCGTTGGATCATTTTTACACGTTCCATTGCGACACGGTCTACTGGTTCCACACACATCCAAGGCTACACACTTCTTGTTAGCAAACACTGAAACACATTCCATCTACTTACAACACAGACCTTTTAAAGTTTAACACAATTTTTGCCGAATAGTAAAATAAGTAACCAGAATTAAATAAATATGCACCAATAAATCATTCTATATATTTAAAAGAGATTAACAAGAACAAAATTTTGGCCATTATTTAATAACATAAAAAAATATTGTTGAGCAAGCCAGATGGCCAAAGTGGTTACCCACCTAACCCAGAGACCAAGGTGTTTCAAAGTTGTGGTCTCAGATCCTGCCTAGCTACACTATTCTGTCCTTACAGTAACTAGTAACAAGTCTTCTTAACCTTTGACTTGATACAACATTGCAATGCCAGTGTAGGTCTATATTCCATAATGCCATTTCTTTTGGGTCCATATAAAAGTAATGTAAAGATTCCTCTTTAGATCTAGCAATTAATTGGGAAAGTGATGTAGAGCTCATATGTTTCTTGACCTCGGCATATGAAGGGATAGTGTGGTCAGCACTATGCCCAGCCACCTTAAATTTCCCCAATGGGAATTAGGTACCCATTAGAGCTGAGCAAACTCATGGACATTCCACTGACTTGAACCCAGATGCTAACTCAATACTTTTGGGTTAGCATTCTAGTTCTCTATCTCTAGACCACGCCATCCCATGGTCCATATACTTTATGTTAGCAATTTTACAGACATTATTATGTTTGTACCTCTACTCCTTGCACATAAAAAGCGCATCTCAATGTCACTGCAATTTGTAAGGCTGCTAGGTGTACACTTGACCCCATCAAAGTTACATGATACACCAGCAGGAAGCTGGACAGTTGCATTGTTTTTTAATCTGCATTTAGCATCCAAGGGTTGTGTCCCATGGCAGATGACCTCTTCAAACTTAAAGTTTAAATAAACATTTCATTAGAGAACATACAACTTTTAAACAAATAAAACTAAATTATTTAAATTTAAGACTAGTGTGTGAAAATATTTTGTTAAATATACTATCAGGAAAAACATTGTGCTGAATTTCACTACCCACTAAAACAGTAACTATGTGTGAAAACAGTAACTAAGTGTAACCTAACTACTTATAAAAACAGTAACTATGTGAGAAGTATATTGTGATATATTTGTGTCAAATATTATAGAAAAATGAATAATAAACCTAAACCAATGGCTAAATATATCAATATAGGCAAGAAATTAACTTTAAACAGCAGTGTTTGCAAGCAGGATTTGCTATATAAAATGCGGCCATCTGTAAGTTAGAGTGGCTTCCCCTGAATCTTGCGCTATAAGTTTACTATAAAAAAAAATAAACAAGATGGCTGCTATAGTGTAACCTAACTACTAACTACCTGTGATGTGATGTTGTGGAGAGTCACATTGACACCATTTTCAATTTTCCTTGGAGTCATCCATGGAGAGAAGAACGAGTCCTCTAAAATTTTCACAAAATTAAAACTTATTACAACAAGAAACTAAACTTGCATTTAGGAAGTATTGATGGTGACTTTATCAGTCAGTATGCATTTCCTATAAATGTAAATGTATGTGTTACATTGTTAATGTTAGGGTCAGAACCTAGGGTTAGGGCATGAGTTTGGGTTAGGGTCTGGTTTAATGCTAAGGTTAGTGTTGACATTAGCAATTTGCATTTGTAATTAGCCTACTGCCAGTAACAGAGTAGCTAACACTTCTTTCAAAAATAGATTTCATTAGTGTGGAACTATTGGACACTCTTTTAACATATAACCTTTTCCAAGTATTAAAATGATCCATTTCACAAGAACAGTTAGCTATATCTATAAAACTTTCTCATTATCATGTCTGTGACAACTCTGTCTTTGAATTTAAGGAACAAGCTGTTTCTATGGAAACACATTGTAAATAAACAAAACTGCCAGATCATTTTTTTCAAAAAGTTGCTAATTAATATATTACCTGAATTAGCAGAACAAGCCGAATTCCCCAAGATGATTCCATTAGTCTGATTGACAACACTGTCGATACGAGAATAGATCTTGCAGATACCACTATCTGCGCCTTGGGCTGAAGGTTCAAACGTGAAGCCATCACAAGCTAACTGAGCATTGAAACACATCTGTTGACATGCTCTGTATGTTAGATTTGTATTGTTGACCACTTGGCCAACTACTGACTGTCCTGTTGTATATTCAAACTGACAAACTAGACCTGAAAATCATGAAGAGAAGAAAATTTTGGCTTTTTTTGTGTGAGCTAATGTGGGGTGGATGGGTCTGGTTTTTATACTCACGTATGAAGATAATGGAGGTGAAAACCTAAAAACTGCTTGACAAAGTTTTTGTATGACCATTAATTAGTGTATATTGTTAATTTATTTAAAGTAAAGTTCCCTTTTCAAACCTGACGGTCTATGGGGCAAGTGAAGTAGAGTTCACTTGTTTCTGTGACATCGGCATATGAAGAGATAGTGTGGTCAGCACTATGCCCAGCCGCCTTTACTTTCCCTAAGGTGAGTTAGGTACCCATCAGAGTTGGGTGGACTCAGGGACGGTCTACAGACTTAAACCCTGATTTGAACTCGAGACTTAAGGGTAGCAGTCTAGCTCTCTACCGCTAGACCACTCCATCCCCTGATTTATTTAGCTACTTTTTATTTCTAAATTTAAAAAATGTTAGAAGCTATTACAGAAGATAAAATCAAATGAATAATTTACCTAAAGTATATCCTGGTGAACAAACACAAATTGGCAAGCCTGTCCTGTAGTCCTGCTCACAGCTGAGGGAATTTGTACAGTAGTTGTCACATGTTTTATCTGGCAACTCACAAAAGTTACCATGGAAACCAGTGAGACAGTGGCAGGTGTAAGAGCCATTTGAGCTTGTACATGAGCCACCGTTGTGACATGGCGCCGAGGCACAACCTATGTCTGGAGACAATATGTTCAGTCAAAATAGTCATCACAAACATAATTTTGTATCATGAACTACACTCACAACATTCTGTACATCAGTAGATTTCTTTTATTTAGATATGGTCATTTTAATCCTGCTAGCCTTAATATTAAATAAATGATGAACAGCATGAAGATGTAGGAAAATCTCATGTGTCTGAGTTCTAACACAATAAAACTATGAAACATAAAAACTAGTTTTGTTATTCCCGTTATATCTAATTTTACTTCCCTAAGAAATGCATCTTTAATTCAAATATAATTGAATATTTTTCCCTAAAAATCTAACAGTTTTGTTGTCAGATGGAAAGTAAGAGAAAAATAACTTCACATTTGCCCTTGAGCTAGAATTTTTACTGCACAAAATAATATGTATTAGTTTTAATCAACAGTTTAATAGGTAACAGAAAATCACTATATGTCTGGAGTCAACTACAAAAACATTTAAAAACTTACAGAGTCTATGAAAAATCTTAGGATTCAAAGAAGAGATATTACAAACATATCAATTAAAACTTAGAAATAAAAATTTTTTTACCAACGACTTGAGAACAATTAGCTCCAGTGTAACCACTTCTGCAGACACATCTGGCATAAATTTCATTGAGGTTTTCACACCTGCTGGTGCCAACAGGATCACATACCAGCTTATCACACGGCTTCCCCACACGAATTTCACACCTGAAATATCACGGGGTGTAATTGGATTCAGTGGCGTCACTAGGTTGGGTGTCACCCGGTGTGACACTTTATGGGAAGGAGGGGGGAAAGGAGGGGGTATTATCCTTAACGACCATCTGATAGTGTTTTAAAGCAAATATTTTCAGTGGCAGCACTGGTATTGTCGGATTCACAAATTATGAATTACTGAAAAGTAGAAAATAAAACAACTAAATACCGGCGTATGATACGCCGCGGGTCGGCTCGTTATAATTACTTGGCCTATAGTTATTACTTTTGAAATCATAAAATATTGCATTTTTATAATTAAGTTCAAAAAGGAAGACTTCCAATTTTTTTTAATTAGCAAGATCTACAAATTAATTACTTAAAAACTGTTTTTTGATTACTTGATTTATCATTCCATGTTGATTGCACCCTTTACTGTTAGTTAATTAGCTTAGCTCTTTTTCTACACATTTACAAAGGTGTAATGACCTTGACCTTGAACCATTTACCTAACACAAAACACTATGATAAATATAATGACCTTGAACTATTCACCTCCCACAACACACTAACATATTTGAAACAACCCTGACCTTGAACTATTCACCTCACACAACACACTAGCTAAGTTGAAACAACTCTGACCATGAACTATTTACCTAACATAAAACACTAAGATAAATATAATGACCTTAACCTTGAACCTATCACCTCCAACAACACTAGCAAATTTGAAACAACCCTGACCTTGAACCATTGAAACCTTCAACACATGAGCACTTGAACAAACCCAGTTGATCCACACAGGTGCCACGTCCATTGCAGCTGTCTGGGGTGCAATCATTGACGTTGGTCTCACACCTGCTCCCTGTTGTACCTGGGGATTTAATTAGCCAATTAAATCAAATTGTTTTCCAACTAATTAGTGAAATAATTACACCTGTGATGTAGGTTGTGTTCAAGCTATATCATTTTATCAAGATTAGTCAGTCTACAACTACCACAAGGAGGATCTTGACAAGCAGATTGCCTAAAAGAACATTTGCTTAAAAAAATTGCCAGAAGGTCTTTTACACAAAAGAACTTTTTTCTCTATAAATTTATATTCATTTAGTTGTGCACCTACAAAAATTAACAACTTAATTTTTTTATTTTTAAAAGCTACTGTTATACAATGCTGCTTTTAAATTCTGTGATCCATATATATATATATATATATATATATATATATATATATATATATATATATATATATATAATAAAGAGTATAAACATTCTGTACCATTTGAACAGTTGCATTTGTATTGTGCACCAGGCATAGAGGTGCAGACAGCACCATAGTAGCAAGGTTGTGACAAACAGGCATCTATCTTGCTCTCACATTGTCGGCCATAGTACCCTGATAGGATGAAGAAAAGAAATTTTAAAATGTGGTGAGTGTAATCATACTTACAATGTGGGCCTGCCTTATTTAGACATTAGTGCACCATATGATTAAAATTCATAGGCTATGTATTGTACATTATCACAAAGAAACACCCATACCTATAATTAGTACATGATAACACAGTGCAATACAAAAGCTTTGACTGTTTGAAAACTATTAGTAATTTTTGCCTATTACTCTGACAAATTTTTTTGCACACATTTAGAAGTATTCCTCATTTTACAAAAAAACCTACCTACCTCTCAGACACAAGCCAAAGGCCTAAGAAAACCTACCCCACAGCAAAAACCTACCACACAGTCACTAAACCTACCCCACAGCAAAAACCTACCACACAGTCACTAAACCTACCCCACAGCAAAAACCCACTTCTCAGACACCACACCAGACCCCAAGAACACCAACCAAAAGAACATAACACCAGACCCCAAGAACACCAACCAACAAAACATAACACCAGACCCCCAAGAACACCAACCAAAAGAACATAACACCAGACCCCAAGAACACCAACCAAAAGAACATAACACCAGACCCCAAGAACACCAACCAACAAAACATAACACCAGACCCCCAAGAACACCAACCAAAAGAACATAACACCAGACCCCAAGAACACCAACCAAAAGAACATAACACCAGACCCCAAGAACACCAACCAACAAAACATAACACCAGACCCCCAAGAACACCAACCAAAAGAACACAACACCAGACCCCAAGAACACAACAGAACACTACACTAGACCCCCTAGAACACCTACCACAAGGAGACCACACCATACCAGACCACCTAGAACACCTAAAGGACACCACACCAGACCCCAAAGAACAACTCCCAACAAAACACCACACTAGACCCCCCAAAAACACCTAACAAAAGGACACCACATGACCTGCAAAACGCCTATAAAAAGGACACCACACCACACCACACAAGACCCCCAAAACACATAAAAAAAGGACCTCACACCAGACCCCAAGAACACCTACCAACAAAACAAAACACCACACCAGACCCCAAGAACACCTACCAACAAAACAAAACACCACACCAGACCCCAAGAACACCTACCAACAAAACAAAACACCACACCAGACCCTAAGAACACCTACCATAAGGACACCACACCAGACACCCTAGAACACCTACCAAAAGGACACCACACCACACCAGACCCCCTAGTACACCAACCAACAGAACACCACACCAGACACCCTAGAACACCTACCAAAAGAACACCACACCACACCAGACCCTAAGAACACCTACCATAAGGACACCACACCAGACACCCTAGAACACCTACCAAAAGGACACCACACCACACCAGACCCCCTAGTACACCAACCAACAGAACACCACACCAGACACCCTAGAACACCTACCAAAAGGACACCACACCACACCAGACCCCAAGAACACCTACTAACAAAACAAAACACCACACCAGACCACAAGAACACCTACCATAAGGACACTGGCACTGAAAGCTGTGGTTCTCCACAACACAGGATCCATTATTTGCACAAGGACTGGGATTACACAGGGATGCTGTGATGATACACATACACACATCATTAAACTCATTTGGATAATATATTTATTTCAGAATATTAAAAAAACTTTAATTTGAATTTAATTTTTTAAAAGTATCAATCATTGAAAATATTTATCATAGAAAAACAAAAAGTTCCAACTAATGATGTCTGAATGCATTTTGTTTTAAAACGTATCAAACATTTTAAAATATTTATTTCAGAAAATTGAAAAATTAAAATTGAAAAAATATTTATTTCAGAAAATTGAAAAATTACTAATAATAATGTTGTTGCTTTTTTTTTCTTAAAGATCCAGCTAAAAAATAAAGAAAATAAAAATCACTGACTGTTGTAGATGCACTCTCCACTGCCTGGCACAGAGGTTTGATTGGATAAACATTCTGTGCATAACCTTGACCCTTTTGTGCTTGTATAACCTGCAGGACAAGCCTTACAGATGGGTTTGTAGCCAGTTACGGAGTACTGTCCCTTGTCACACTCGGGTGCACATTTGCAGGTGGAGTCTGAAATAAGGGAGACAACAAGATTGTTTGCTCATCTTTAAGATTAAAAGATGAACTTTATGATATAGTATTTAAAATGAGGTATTAGCTTTAGATTTTTGTTTCAGGTTTTTTAATCTATTTTATAATGATAGGCGAAACAGTAGCTATTCATATCTTATGACTAATTAGTAAAACAATTTTTTTTTTTGTGAAGATTAAAGAGTGAAGAAGAAATTGTTTAGAAAGCAAAGAAATGTACTATATTACACAAAGTATTTTGGCAGGAATACTCAGCTGTTACTTTTTTAGATATTGCTGGTTTTAAATACTGTATTTTACATGCTAGAAAAATGAACATTTAATAAAAAGGAAAACATACTTTTACAGTTGGGGTTGAATTCATTTTTGACCACCTGTGTGTTGAGTGGACATTCTAGACAGTGCGTGCTGTTGACCTTGTAGGTGTTGCCTTGACATTGAAAGCAGGGAGTCATGCCTGTACTGGAGACAAAGTTACCTGTGCAGTTGGGGGTGGCGTATGGTACCACTTGCGAGATGTTTTTCAGACATTCGAAACAGTTGGTGCCTGTGTGAAAGATAAATAAGTAGTAGTAAGTAAAGTTCCTTTTCAAACCTGACGGTCTATGGGGCAAGTGAAGTAGAGTTCACTTGTTTCTGTGACCTCGGCATATGAAAAGATAGTGTGGTCAGCACTATGCCCAGCCGCCTTTACTTTCCCTAACATGAGTTAGGTACCCATCAGAGTTGGGTGGACTCAGGGACGGTCTACTGACTTGAACCCGGATTCGAACTCGAGACTAACCGCTAGACCACTCCATCCCGAAAGATAAATAATGATCCATTAATCCTTTCTACAACATGGGATGGTACGGTTGAGTGGTAGAATACATTAAAAATTTAAGTTCAAATCCCAAGGCTCAAGTCAGAAAAAGTTTCATGAGTCCAATCAGCTCTAATGGATACTTGACTTAAGTCAAGTGAAAGTAGAAGTGAATGATGGGCATAATGTTGACCACACAATCCTTTCATATGAGGAGGTAAAAAAATATATATAAATCTACATTTTTTGTCTAATTGAACGGTCATGTCTGAAGGTGCAATTGAGAACTTTTTCCTTTGTAAATAATATAAATTATATAATGAAATATATATAAATCATTTAAGCTATAAAACAATTTTAAAGAATTCCCTTTCATTATTTAGAATTAATAAAATTTAATTATCAAAGAACTGCAAACATGGTGAAGTGGACAAGGATTTGTTGAGAGTGAGAAAATAGAAGGAAAAAAGATAAATGAATTATCTCTACTGATAGTCAAAAACACAGGGAGTTAATCTTAACTGAAAACAACCAAGAAAATTGTTGTAGATTAAATTGTAAATTGTTTTTATATTCAGAAAAATTAAACTTTTTTTTTTAATTTTTGAAATATCTAGCAACCAGTTTCAAAATTTTAAAAAATTTGGTGTAGAAAGTTGATTACATACAATTATTCAGGTTGAATAGACTGCCCAGAGAGCTGTCTGTAGAAAAATAGAAAAACAAATTATTAAAAAATTAATTTAAATAGATCCAGTATTTACATAAAGTAATGCAGAAAGGAAACAAAAAATGTAATAGAATAAGCTTCAAAATATTTTTATCAAGCCAAGCTTGGCAGTACAGGAAGTGCCAGTAGCACACAACAAAATGTAATTTGTTCAATAGGCCTATAATAAATGTAACCATTCTAGTAAGTTTAATGTCATAATATGGATTTGTTTTTAACATAATATTTTGTCTATAGCCTGCTTTTAAAACTTTTTTTTTATAGCACTTAAAATACACACAACAAAAAATTCAAATAATGCCTGATATTATACGAGAAAGTCTTTGTATAGGCCCAACTACTGTTAAGTTTCAAATTATTCTAATAAATTCTAAATCAAAATGAATAACTTATCCACATAAAGCATACTGATAAATTATAAATAAAAACATAACCTACTTGTGGTAAAGACTTGAAACAGGCATGAGGCATTATTCCCTGCAGCGTCAAAAGCTGTGGCTGTAATATCCACTGGCACCCCAACGTCCCTCACGGTGACCGTAACGCTGGGCACAGAGAACTGTACGTTCACCACCCCCGTATCATCTGTGGCAGTGACCAGAGACCTGTTGAACACGTACGTTACGTTGGTGCTCGCTGAGACACTTAAGAGAACTGGACAAGGGCATTCCACAACAGGAGGGGTTTCATCTGCATTACAACATATAAAAAACATTATTTAAAAAAAAATTAATTAAAAATTGATTTAAATTTATAATAGAAAATATCAATCATATGTCTGATCCTAAAAATAAATGTCGAGTTATATAACAAACTCAACCAGCAGTTTTAAAATGTTAAACTTTAAATTTTGCTAAATAGTTAAATAACTTTTGATTATTTCCTCAAGGAAAGTACTATATTTACAATCATCATTTTTTTTAACCTTGCCTCAGGTTTAAAAAGTTTATGTTAAATTGTATGAGTGTTGAACATAAGAGCAGCATGGACAAACCTTTAACTAGTAGCACAACCTGGCAACTGGATGTCAGATTTTCTCCGTCCCTGGCCACAAATGTCACATTCATGTCTCTAGCGATTGGCTGGTTGGGTAGAAAGTATTTCGGCAATGTGGTAATTTCCATAACCAATTTGGAGTTATCCACAGCAGAGGGTGCATACAGCGAGGCGCTGGCATAGCGACTGACCACAATAGGTGAGGCTGGACAGTTGTTAAACACAGGCGGCTCAGAGTCTAGTGGCAAAAATAAACATCTTCAGTGAGCATGGTGAAATTTTACTCAAAGCTAGAAATGGATTATACACATGAAGCTATGACATTTAAAGGTTAAACATACATTCATCTTTAAGTCAAATACACACACATGAAGGTATAACATTCAAAGGTTAAACATTTATCTATAAGTCAAAGACACACACATGAAGGTATGAAAGGTTAAACATTTATCAATAAGTCATAAACACATGTTGGTATAACACCTTACATGCAGTATAAACCCTCATTCACATGTTGGTTTAACATTCATAAACACATACAAGTGTGACACTTATCAATACATACAGGTGTGATACTCATCAATACAGACAGGTATAACACATTTAATACATAAAGGTATGACACTCATCAATATATACTAGTTTTAATTAATACATACAGGTATAGTTATGACACATATCAATACATAAAAATATGACTTTCATAAATTCATACAGGTATGATATTCATAAATATTATAGTTATGACATTCATACATTCATACAGGTATGATATTTATAAATTCATACAGGTATGATATTAATAAATACATACAGGTATGATATTCATAAATAAATACAGGTATGATATTTATAAATTCATACAGGTATGATATTCATAAATACATACAGGTATGATATTCATAAATAAATACAGGTATGATATTTATAAATTCATACAGGTATGATATTCATAAATACATACAGGTATGATATTCAGAAATAAATACAGGTATGCTATTTATAAATTCATACAGGTATGATATTCATAAATTCATACAGGTATGATATTCATAAATAAATACAGGTATGATATTTATAAATTCATACAGGTACGACACTTACCTCAATTTGAACTGACACATCCATAACTGCAGCTATAACACCTACACATGTACACCTGACATTCATCCATTCCTACAGCTATGACATATGTACACCTGACATCCATCCATACCTACAAGCTATGACACTCACCTACACATGTTGGAGCAGTGGTGTTCCACTCTAACCCTGACCCATCCTCTGCCTGCTGACATATAAGTCCTGCCTCTGGCTTGGGAGTGTAGCCAACTCCGGTGCAGTTGAAAACCCTCTCCTCCATGTAGCTGTAGTTCCCATAAGAAACTAGAGCATCAGGCGGCCGCCTTAGGTCAGGGCAAGTTCCATCTTAGAAAAACATCCAAATATTTTAGAATAAAAACTTTATTTCAATAACATTTTAGGTAATTATTAAAGTCAGAGAATTGAATTTCTTTTCAAATGTGTATTTATGTGTTTGCCTCATGTTCGAATTTGGGTTGAAGTCAGTAGAATGTCCCTGAGTCCACCCAGCTCTAATGGGTACCTAACTCACATTATGCTGGGCATAGTGCTGACCACACTATCCCTTTATATGCCAAGGTCTCTGAAACAGATGAACTCTACCTTATCTGCCCCATGTCTCTTAAGCATGAACAGTAATCAAGGCTGATTCGTATGTTTAAGTTCTTAAAATAAAAAGAATCTATATTAATTTAATTTTAACCCTTTGAACCCACTGTGCCACTTTTTCAGTCCGTTCCTTAAAACACCAATCCCTGACATGCTGACATATTAGCCTGAGACTCCTTACCCCAGATTGACAGTCCGTACATAAAAAGGTATATTTAAAATGGACTTCGATGGTACTGATCACCCCATGGTAGGTTCCTGTCATGGCTGCAACCTCAAACTATTTTTGTTTGTTCTGCTTATTATTTGCAATTCACAATAAAAATTGGGTTGGGAACGTCAATAATCAGCTTTCTATTTAAGTGCACACCTAGAATCTACCTCTTTAAAAGAAGTGTTTTCCTGTTGGAAGGGCTGGCATACTCAGTAGAAGTGTTGGCTATAATTAATGTGCATATGGTCATTAAAGTAATGAAATTAAGCTTGTTTTTATATTCATGGTCTTCATTTTTCATTTAGAGTAATTAACTTCAGGAGCTCAGGGGAATGGGGATTTTAAGGTTGGGAGAAAAGTGTTCAAAGGGTTAAACAAACACCCTAAACTACACCACTGTAGGTTATCTCCTCTTAATGAGTTCAGACACAGTTTACAGCAGTTTAAAAATGTTTCAAATCAGTTTTCACAGCGTGTTGTATATCAAACAAACATGTGCTATTTAAATAAAGGAGTAAAGGATCAAGTTAGACAAAATGATAAACCACTTACAAACACAGTCTAGATTGGTTAAATTCCATAGTCCACTGTCTTGGCAGACGACTGTAGCTCCCACAGGGCCTCCTCTCTGGAAGTAAGGAAATTCACACTCAAACCTGAAAGACTTCCTGTCTAACCGAGACTGTGCAGTCCAGAAAAGGGCCACAGCACCAGTGGGTAGGTACATCTCTGGGGGCCCACAGGTCAGGGTTGATGTTATAGTACCAACTGAATGTACACAGATTAAAATGTAATCAGGCAGGTCAGGGTTGATGTTATAGTTCCAACTGAATGTACACAGATCAGAATAGTATTCAACACCTTCATGAATATTCCTTCAAATTAAATTTGTTTATATACTTCCATTTAATTATATTTTTAACTGAAGCTCTAGAAAATATCACACAAATGATCTTAAAATTGTTTTGTTTATCAAAGATCAATTATAAATCTGAGTTTATTCTACGCTGGTGAAAATTCATTAAAGGATACAAAAAAATATAAATTATAATTATACCTGTTTAAAATAGTTGTGTTACTAAAAAGAAATATGAAAGCACAATGACACAGTTTTGAGCGATGGTATTGAAAATTTGCACTAAAAGTCCTAAAATAAATATTCCCTTCAATTAAACACTAACAGATAATTAATATTTAATGACTGACTAGCAGGAAGATTCTTGCACTTACCACTGTTTTCACAACTGGAGTTAACTCCCTGCATCCTGTAAGCAATGATGCTAGGATCAAACAGACATGTTCTAATTTTGTCTGTAGAATTACACTGAGTAATTACACTTGTATTATAGCCCACTGTGGTGTAGTTTGCTCCTTCTCCTGTACAATTAACCACTGAAAATAATATTATCAATGAGTAAAAATTAATTGGCTTTTAAAACCAGATTTATCTGGCAAGTCCAAAAATATTTTTAAAATTAGAAAAAAAAATTGGGGGAATTATTTTGAATTAAGTTGGAAACTTCATCCATTAATTATTTGTAATTATTTTTAAAACTAATTTTATTAAATGTATCAACAAACATAAAAACTATTATTATTAGTTTTCAAAGATAATGGCAACAAACAACAGACCTGTACAGTTGAGATTTAAAGACCAGTTTCCAAAGCTTGAGCACACAGTTTTGTACATTCCCCCTGATGGGATGTAGCCTAAGTCACAACCAATGGTAACTGTATCATTCACAAGGTAACGCCTCTGTGGATTCGTGATGTAACCATTTGAAATGGATGGCTCTGGGCATGCATTGGCTGTAAAGGGGAGTTAACATACATTTATCATAATGCTAAGTATCATAAGGGAGATAATTACTAACTTGTGTGCATCAACCTGTTCTTTTATTGGCTCATTTCTGTTTTCTTTCTTTCATTAAACATATTTTAATACTAACATGTAGATGAAAGTTTAGTGTTACTTACGCACACAGGTGTGGTTTATGTAATAAATATCCCCTGGTTTTAATCCATTTTCTCCTTGCAGTATATATACTCCACCAGATCCATTGTAGAGAAACAATGAAAATCCTTCCGGGCAAGTACATTGATAGCTTCCAATTGTGTTCACACAAATATGGCTGCATGAATCTATGTGTTCCACACACTCATTTATATCTACAGTAAATATTTCAATAGAAACAATTCAGTAAACAAAAACTTTCAGTAGCTAGGTTATCATCTAATGTTATCTATTGCAAGTTTTAAGCTGAAAATGAATTAATCTTTAATAACCTGCAGTGCAAAAAGATTTAAATGTTTAAAGCTTTGCAAAAAATCAATTACCTTTACATATTGTTAATTCTAGTTTTTAGATATCAAACTTTAATGCAAACAGCAAATAAAGGACAAACTAAAGTATAAAATATGACTAAATGGATTCCACAGGTTTTATCTTAGATTTGAACTCAGGACCTTCTCTGCCATAAGACCACATCAAGCTAACCCACCACCATCTTTTATATTACAAACAAAACAACAAACCTTGACAGCTCTGCCCAACTCTGTGATATCCAGCTCGACATTTACACTCATACGTTGAATTACTCATCACACAGAACTCAGTGCTGTTACATACAACACCAGCACATGGGTTGTATGTGCTATCTGGAAAATACAAAATCAAAATTTCTTGATATAACAAAATAACTAAAGAGGAAATGTGTATTATTAGCTTTAAAAACATCAGGTGGAATGTAGTGTTCAAAACTGAAACAACTCATCCAGTGAATTCACAATCAACAAAAAAATTGCAAGTCTACTGAATAGTCTTCATTAAAAAAAAGCTACCTGTAAACATCAATCTGAAAATAGATTTTATAAATTGTTCTCTAAAAATGTATGTTAGCAAGATTTTAGTTTTTGGGCTTGAAGTTCTAGAAACTACCTTAACAGTGTACCATTTGTTTACATCTACCCCTCCTTTAATTTTTCTTCAATTAAAGAGCACATATTTCTCTTGACCATATGTTGCTTACTACGGGCTGACCTATGGCTACTGGCTGACCTATGGCTACTGGCTGACCTATTGGCTACTGGCTGACCTCTGGCTACTGGCTGACCTCTGGCTACTGGCTGACCTCTAGCTACTGGCTGCCCTATGGCTATTGGCTGATCTATGGCTACTAGCTGAACTCTGGCTACTAGTTGACCTCAGGCTACTGTCTTACCACTGATTAGCTACTGGTTGAGCAAAGTCTGACCACTACAGAAAACTTACTGAAAAGAAAAAAATTTGAAGTTACCTAGTACACAGGAAGGTACACGATCAAACGTTGAGTTGCTGAAGCAGGTGATGTTGATGGACGCACTGAGTGAGGAGTTGACCAGGTAACCTGCGTCACACCTGACCTCAACCGCCTCACCTGCCAGCAGGGTGGTCTTGTTTACATGTGCATGCAGGATTACAGGAGTGATGCACACTTGACCTGTGTCAATAATGTAGAGGTTTTAATGCTGTAAACTGCATATGTGCTGTTGACTTAGATATTTATAGCTGTAAGCACAGATGTGCTGTTTACATAGATATTTATAGCTGTAAACTACACATGCACTATCTACGTAGATATTTATATCTGTAAGCTACACATGTGCTGTGTTCTATCTACATAGATATTTATAGCTGTAAGCTGCACGTGTACTGTATACATAGATATTTATAGTTGTAAGCTACACATGTGCTGTCTACTATCTACATAGGTATTTATAGTTGTAAGCTACAAGTGTACTGTGTACATAGATATTTATAGCTGTATGCTACACATGTACTGTGCACATAGATATTTATAGCTGTAAGCTACACAGATGAGGTAAGCCTGCAGGTCTTATAACAGTAACCTAAACTTGCGTGGCATGATCTGTGTGCAAGTACAGAAGTTAAAGCTATAACCTACACAAAAGTTTATACCTTTTCAAATTAGAGGATATGCTTGATTTTTTTGTTTTTTTTTACAATACAGACATTAAAAAATTAAGACTTTACCCACTAATTTAAAATCAAGCAAAATATTAAGTAAGACATTGAACATGGAGCTGGCATTAAAATATGAAACAAACATTAAGAAACATTTGCACAAAACATTTTAAAAATCTAATACTTGGTTAAAAGAGATAAGCTAATTTACATTTATGTGTAATAAAATCCCAACTAAAGGGCTAAAATAATTCAACAAGAAACTTACGTGAGCATTTAGGGACTGGACTACTCCAGGTGCCATTTTCCAAGCACACCAACAAAGGTGAGCCAACTAAATGAGACCCTTCCTGGCAGGTGAAGTTGTACATGCTGCCAATCATGGTGCCATTCTTCAATTTTAATGTCCACTTTAGGTCACTAGACAAGTTAGTCAGTGGTGGACACACCCCCGCATCTGACAAACAGAAATTATAAAGTGTGATGAAAAGCCTAAAGTATAAAGATTATCTGGATAACAGACATTAATTTAGTCACAAACTGAGTCTGTAAAACAGGCTGCTTAGTGCCAAAAAATTCAAGATTTTAATACACATTAAAAGGCTTGAAGACTAAATAACTAGCAGGAGAAGTCCTAATTGATTTGATATTAAGATTGAATAATTAAATATAAATTAAAAACTCAGGAGAAAAAATTGGCCTGCCTTAGGCAAGAGAAATATTTGAGGATTGGTTAAATAATTGAAAAGTGTCCAGATTTATCCACAAGAAATACTTAAACGTTGATCAACTAAATTAACTACAGCCATATATGTCCTGGGAACTAACAGAAATAGTTGACGAACTTAATTACACAAACCCTTATTAATACAGGTAGGTGGCGTGGTCCAGGAAATGGGTATTAAGACACTCCACTGAATTAGAAAAGTTGATCAACTAACTAAAAAAGCCCTCACCAACACAGGTAGGTGGTGTGGTCCAGGAACTGGGTATTAAGACACTCCACTGAATTAGAAAAGTTGATCAACTAATTAAAAAAGCCCTCACCAACACAGGTAGGTGGTGTGGTCCAGGAACTGGTATTAAGACACTCCACTGAATTAGACCCCACTAGCTGATAACTGTGCAGACAGGCATAGGTTGTCTTTGAGCCAGGAACTTGTCCACTAGTTGACTGGACCATGCCATTTGTTATCTTTGGAGGTGGACCACAAGTTTGTGCTGTGGACGACAAAGGGAATTTGTCATTGCTATACACCTCTTGCTTTTCTTTCTTTAAAGATGTAAACCGTGATTTCTTTCAGAATTGCTATTTTAAAATACTAGTGGCCACTAATTAATTCTTTGGTGCATAGAGCTAAATTAGTATAAAAAAATATACATCTGGGACTAAATGGATAAAAATGACTATACAAAATCTATACAAAATTTATACAATATGTATGCAACAAGTATACAAAATTTTAAAGCTAAACACCAGGTATACAATAGGTATAAAAGAGGTAAAAAAGACATGAAACAGTTAAGCAAATACAACCGGCATACAACAGGTATACAAAATGTGTACAACAGTTAAGCAACAGGTATATGCAGCAAGCATACAACAGATATACTATAAGTATAAAACATGTACTCAGCAATTACACATCAGGTATGCAATAAGTATAATTAAATATTAAACTTAAACTGTCCATTACCACTAGTGTATACTGCCCTGAATCCTCTCCCATTACTAATGGCGTTGGTCTGGAAGCGGACCAGGAGTTGTCCATCACTATCTGTGACATTGGGAGAGAACTGGCTTTGTGTTACATTTTTCCCTTGTGATGAACTGGTGTTTACATCTGAGAACACCTACAAGGGGAAATAACAACATTAAACATCCCAGTTAAACTGAGGCAGTGGTTTCCAAACTGAGTGGTGTACCTATAGCTAGGACTAGTGCTAGGGAAGGTATGGAAAAAGCTACACAAACATTATAAAAATATACAAATATAACTCAGTTTTTATTGATTTATTAGCCTCATCACTAAAATTCTTCTCTTTAATTCTACTTTTTTTTATGGTCAAGGTTTTTTAGATTTTTGCATATACAATCTTTTTTTAGCAGTATTATTAGAGGTGGGGGTGACACCAACATCTAATAATTTACTATGAAAATGATGATTTGTTCCCCATGAATTAATAGGAGGAATAATATAATGTGTGCAGCACTGGATGACACTAGACTTAGCAAAGCCACTAAATACTTTTTTTAATTGTGGTACTTCAGTAGTAGTGATTTATAAGCCTTTCATTAATGTTAAACAAGAGAGTGGACCAGTCTATACCTGTAGCAGATCTGAAGAGTGGATGTCAAACTGAGCCAGATCAAACTGGAGTGTTACAGGCCTATGTGAGGATGTGTTGATCAGCCAAGTACAGTTCTGGTAATTTGGGTAGTTAACATTGGGATACCCAGGGGAAATAATTTCTCCATCTTCTTCAGTGAGAGTTACAGAACAACCTGGATCCAAGGATAATATATAAAATTATTTAACACACAGAAAGCTTTACATTTTTCATAGCCTGTTGGACAATGACATTTTTAGATTCTATAAAACATTGTGCTAGTAAAAGAAAAATTGTTCCTTTATTACTTATTTAAAAATTAAATGTGCCATTAAATGTATAAATAGCTGCTGATGAAAAATATATTTTTAAACTTGATTAAGACTAGTAATCTTTATGTTAAAAATATGTGCCTGTTTTATATGTGAAGTTAAATCCTCTGCCAGTTATTCCACTTTTCTGGGATGTTTTGTAAAAAAGATACATGTGAGGGCCAGTAGAAAATACGTAACGCTTGGTTGGGCTCGTGGTTGAGTCGAGGCGAGCCAGAAGTGGGCTTGATGCAACTTCACCATCTCTCACATTGATGTAGTCACCATTCATGAGGTCAAGGTCTAAAATCTTACAGGAGGAAAAAAAAGAATAAATTTATTAGAATTTATTACAAATAAAATATTTCACCATTAGAGAAATAGTATTCCAGTACTGTATTAACTTTTAATGCTGTTGAAACTATCCAGTGCATATTTTACTAGTATAGCTTGATGCGGTGTCAAGGTTAAATTATGCCTGATGTTCAGTCTACACACTCTCCCCTCTACCCTTTTTGAAAACACTGACAGTGTTTAGAAGGATAAATAGCTGAAATTAGAAAATAGTCTGCATAGATTTATATTTATTGCCTGTTTGCGATTTATTGCCTATTTGTGATTGATTTCCATGTTTATTTTTAGTGAAGTTAAAATTCAGTTATGTCCCTTAGCCTTAAGGACTGTGTAGTTGAGTAGCAGGGTGCTCAACTACTATTCCAAAAGTCTTGAGTTTGGGTCTAATTACAGGCTTTTTTTTAATACCCTTAGTCTTACAAAAGATGTTTATATGGCTTGAGCAAAATTTAAAGTAAACAGAAAACTAGCCGCTAACCTTTAGCAGAATGACTTGTCTGTTGTATTTTGAGGAAATGATGTAGACAATCTCTTGATTTGCCAGATAAGGTGAAGGATACTGGTATGAGTGTAGTGGCTGAAAGAAGTCTTCTGAGAGTAGCTTAACACTACTTTTATCTTCTGTAACTGAAGATAAAAAAATCAAATGATAATTAAACAAATCATTAGGACTCTTCATAAATGGAATTTAACAGTTTTGTTTAATTTAAAGTAAAGCGTGCAATTGCAAATCATGAATCTGTTACAGCAGTTTGTTTTTTAAAACATACAATTTAAAAATAATATTAAATTTTTTTTTATATGGTTAATCATCTTTTCCCTTTTGTGCCCAAGACACATGGGGTTGCTATAGAACGCTCTTTCCAATTTTGCCAGTTTCTAGCAATTTTTTTTGCAGTACCCCAAGATAGTCCTGCCTATGTCCTGTTGTGCACTTTTACTATTTTCTTTTCCCTTGAGACAATCAGTGAAGCTACATTTTTTATTACTAATATACATTACCAAAATAATCTAGAGTGTTATTACATTTTTAGTTTATATTTCACTTTGGAGATTCAATATTGCTGTATTCAAATAAAGAAAACAAAACAAAAAACAAGAAAAGATAAAGATCCACTCTCCTAGAAGAAGAGTTAGAAAAAGAAATCAGCCATATTACACACCTGCCTCCCAGTTAGCTTTAAATCCCCTCAGCTGTCTCTGGCCGTCTGATGTAAATCTAATGATCATCAGGTTGTTTGGACTGTAAAAACTTGTTACATTTTGGGTTCCAGAAAGATGGCCAAGTGTGACGGAATTTTTCTCAAGTTTCCCTTTCCCTAAGACTGTGACAACGTCAGCATTCGGTTCAGTCTCAAAATCTGTGAACTGAGACAAAACATTCATAAATAGTCTATTATTAAGTTAACAAAGAGCTTATTGCAAGGGAGACAATCTATTAAAATAATGTCCATAAAAAATCTGTTGTTAATTAAATTTAACTTTAACAAAGTGCTTATTGTAAGGGAGGTAATCCTTTACAACAATGTCAAGAAAAATTCTATTATTAATGTACTGTTAATATTTTAAGGGAGACAGTCCTGCTCAATAATTGTCCATTAAAAAATCTATTATTAATTTTATTTTAAAGCTAATAAAGTTTTTATTGTAAGGGAAACAATCCCTGAAAACAATGGTAAAAATAATATCTTATAATTGAACTAACTTTTACAACTGATTGATAATTTGTATCATTATTAACCAGTATACACGTATCATAACAAAACCGTAAGTGATCACTATAGTAAAATAGTACCAACAGTAATTTTAATGCTAGTTCCAATAGGTCCTTCCACCAGCCATAAACAGCTTGTGTTGGCCTCGTAGGATGATTGAGTATCAATAACACCTGAGGCACCTTGCTGAACTGTGTTACACCTTGAAGCTAAATAAAATTGAACATGCCTTTAGTTTTTGTCTTATACTTGTAGGGTCTATGTTTTAGTTTGTAAAAAAACAAAAACAAAACTTTTCAATATCAACTTAGTTTTTTAAAAAAACAATTTTAGGCAAATTTTTTTACAAATAATTTGTTATAACTAATTTGCGTTGCAGCATGTTGGTGTAGATTTAAATTATTTCAAGTAAGTGTATTAAAACTGTCTATATCTAATTATCTTTAACTTAAGTTCGTAAGAGCTTTATTTTCATAAGAGCTTAAGGCTTAACTCTCAAAATTTTAGCTCATCAAAACTTAACGTACATTGTACAACATTATTAATGTCAACAGAGCTTAACTTACGACAGATAATCTAATGAGAGCTTAAATTAGACATTTCATCTAAAATCTAATCAGACCTAAGTTAGATATTTCATCTAATCAGAGCTTAAGTAAGACATGTCATCTGACATCTAATCAGAGCTTAACTTACGACAGTTCATCTCATCAGATCCATCTGAGCAGTCATCCTGACCATTGCACACAGATTGTGAAGACACACATTTATTGTTTGAACAACGAAATGTTCCTAAAATAAATACATTATTATAAAATAATAATTTTACAATAATATTCTCTTATATACATAAGCCTACTGTAAACTATTGATAAAAATAATTTTAAAACAGAATCATGTAATTTTACTTTCAGAATTCCTTTTTTTTAAATTTGGCATTGCATATTGACCCCTTTACACATCGTTGCATAATGGCGAAAATGTCGACCCCCCCCCCTTAAAGACAACATTAAACTTCAGCCTAATATTTCACCCTCCATTTTTTTCGAACTGTGTCAAAATTAGGTATAGAGCTAGGCCCTATAGTTCTCTATTAACTGTTTGTGTCACGATGAACAAAAAAATAAAGAATTTATTTTTTTTTTTATAAAATGCAAAAACCACTGCAAAACTTCAATTTAAAAATTGTTTTTCGAAAATGAAAATTTGGACACCTTTTTACACACTTTTAAATGCCCCTACCCCCAGTTGCGCCTCGTCATAAAATCCGACCATCCCCTTTTCGAGTGTGACGTCATTTCTGGACACACCCCCACCCCTCCTAATCGTTGAGAAGTTGGTTTCCATGTGCACTTCTATTCCAGAGTGTCTCAACTAAAGAAATTATTTTCTAACCATTGAAGCAAGCAGGAAACTGACACACAAAACTCTTCTGCTCCTCGCATGTTCCCAGTGACCAACGAAACAGGTCGCCAGTTCCAGAAATGTAAACACAGTCTCCCGAGTTGCGATTGGGCTCAGTGTTGGACCAGAATCCTTGGTACAATAACCACGGTGTTCTGTCGCCCCATTGTGTTATCGTGTCAGCACTGTTAGTACCGTTGTAAACATTTCTTAGACCTGGGGAAAAGAAATCCTCATGTAAACATTACATTACGATTAACAGTTAGACTTTATCACTAGGTATTATGTCAGCCAAATTAAATAGGCATTCGATTTTTATAATTTATTTCAAAAGAAATCTATATATATAATTCTCTTCTGGGAGACGCTAGAAAACAAGCTGTAATCGCGCTCCCTACCACCCCACCCCTACATGGTCTTAGTGAGCTGTGTTCACTCTTAATGTTTACAAGCAGAGCCGGGTTTAGTGACGACTATTAGGGGCAGATAATTTAGTTTGAAACTATTTTAAACGTAGGGAGGGGGGGGGGAGGGGGGGGGGGGGGTTATGGTCCTTAACGAGCTACTTATAGTGTTTTAAAGAAATATTTTCAGTGGCAGCGTTGTTACTGTCGAATTCAGAAATTATGAATTACTGAAAAGTAGAAAAAACAACAACTAAATAGCGGCGTATGTTATGCCGCGGGCCGGCTCGTGTTTTATATTATTCATTTGAAAACTACAGCTTTGTTGAATTCAATGATTATGTGATAAGTTTGATAATAAGTATTTTTAAAAATTGTCTTACCAATCCAAAAGTTAACAGAAGAAACATTAGTAAAAATAGCAGCTAATTTATTTGAAGAGGGGAGATCATATACTTTTGCTAGTGTTGCTCCATCTCTGTGGAAAAAAAATTAATTATATGACGAGGCCTAGGGTATTTATAAATATAGAGGCTGCTGGAAGCAGGGGCGGGGTGGCCCACGTCATTTAAGGGCCCAAAGCCGACCATAATACATTTTTTATAGTGAATTTCTAAACAATTTTCTTGCATTTTTAACTTGATGTTTGTTTTGTAAAAAGATTACCGTAGCTGCGTTTAGATTATCTTCATTCTATAGACACCACCCCACGCTCTTGTATATTGTTTTTCCTTTGTTTTTAAACCACTGTGAAAGGTCGAGCCCTTTCTCTCCTACAATCAAACTTATCAAAGATAAGCAAACGTTCAAACCACTTCCATGACTTATTTCCCTTCTTTAAATTGTCAAATAGGGGTGCTCATAAGCTCCTTTTAATAGATTTGTCCTAAACAAATTAAAAAGCAATTACTGCTCTTAATTATTCTTTTTTTACTTACTAAAGAATGACATTGTATAAAAAAACATAAAAATAAACATAACATGAGACACCATTACTTATACAAAGCTTTCATGTTTTATATTCTTTTGACCGACTAGAAGTTAGGAGGTTTTGGAGCAGAGATAATAAAAACTGATTTATTTTTAAAACACACTAATGCACTTACACACAAGACAAGTTGTTGTAATTTGTTTTAATTGAAAAAAAAACAATTTTTTCAAAACCCGAACAGGCCAGCAATGAGTATTTTATGTTCGTATTTTGTGTTTGTATATATATATATATATATATATATATATATATATATATATATATATATATATATATATATTTATATATATATATATATATATATATATATATATATATATATAGGGGGTCCTAAAAATTTTTTTGGCGGGGTGGCCCTTTTTTTCTAGTTCTGCCACTGGCTGGAAGCTAGCTATAATATAATACAATAGGGACGGCAGGGGGTTAACTATCAACTGTGCCCACTCCTCATATAGATTCTATTTAAAAATTGTCTGTGTCTGTGTATGTGTCACTCCAAGAGGGTACCAACTTTTGTGACGATGTGAGGGGGGGGGGGGGCGGAGAGTCAGAAATTGTGACGTCACAGTTTATGTTTCTAAAAGCAAATACTTAAGTTTCATTTAAACAATTATTTTGTATATTGCAAAGACTTCTTTTGTAAAATTTTATTTTTAATACGTTTGGATCAACAAAGTCAATATTAAAACTTTAGAAAGTATTCGATGTTTCCAAAAACAAAAATGTCTCTGTATCAGTGGCGTAGCGAGGTCGGGTGTCACCCGGTGCGGCACTTAATGGTGTCACCCCCCCAGAGGCATAGAGACCCTTCCCAGGGACAAACTTTCAAATTTTCGATTTGCACCCCCCCCCCTCAAACTTTCGATTTGCACCCCCCCTCGAGTTTTCGATTTGCACCCCCCCCCCCTCAAACTTTCGATTTGCACCCCCCCTCGAGTTTTTCTCTATATATTTTGCTATTTTTTGCCTTGGTGTCACCCCCCTAATTGGTGTCACCCGGTGCGGGTCCGCACCCCCCCGCCCCCCCTCGCTACGCCCCTGCTCTGTATGGATGGAGAGGGGGGGTAGGTTGAACTATGACGTCGTTTTAGGCCGAGAGGGTTTGACGTTTTGTGACGATATGTGAAGATAACGTTATTTAAGGGCGACAACGTATGTTATAAGTAAGCCTACTTGATGCAATATTTATTCCATAACGTTAGGTTAGCCTTTAGGGAATTGTAATCAAATCACGCGTACCGTTAGATAGTGTGTATGTATTTAAACTGAATTTGAAATAGTTTGATCTCCATAAAAATAGTAAAATAAAATGCGATTGTTCAAAAAGCTTTTTAAAAAATCGTGAAACAACCACTGAACCAGGTTTACATGTCAAGTTAGATCACTGTAGAATCTATACATTTCACGCCAATGGTTTGAAACTAATTGAAAAATATCTTTCTATCATCGCTTTTATTGTTGTGCTCTGCTGTACAGCTCAAGCGATGCAGATCTAGATCGATAATCAATAAAAGTCATACACGTGATTAACAAACAACATGGGGGGGGGGGGGTGGGGGGGTGTCCCAGCCAGTAACAAAACTAAAACTTACTGCTGGCATATATCCAAAGCGAGATCCCACGAGAATTTGTTGTCGTATAGTTTCAAGCAATTAGATTCAAACAACTTCCAGCCTGCCAGAAAAGAAAAAAAGTTCTGATATTTTAAATTCTAAACATTTACGAATGAGAAACATATGGTAATGATGGTCGAAGTTGCGTCAAGTGTGTGTGTGTGGGGGGGGGGGGGAGCAGTGGCGTCACAATTTAGGTGTGGGGTACTTGTGGCTTCACAAAGAAGGTGTGGGGAGCGAATACAACCGAAGCATAC